TGATGTTAAAGGAATAGATTCTAGGACTCCGTCCCCAGTAGATTCAATAGGTCTAGGCTAGAGCACAGGACTCTGCACAGTACAGAAGCAAGCCAGGTGATCTGATAAACTTGTCCTATGAATCACACCTCTGGAAACACTGGTATTACAGTTAGCACATCAAAATATAAGTAGGCTTTTTTTCCTAGAAGAAATGCTAATTCCTTCCTATACTCTTTGTGCATATCAGGATGTTAATTGCGTTCACGGCATTATTTAACATATTAATTCTTCTTGAATTTTTTTTTAATTTTGAGGATTATAAGAACAAATTAAATATTTAGCAAAGAAATGGCTGAACCCACATTGTCTAATGATCAGTATACAGCCTCCTAGTGGACAGTATGATCCAGAAAAGAATAATTAATGTGCACGTTTAACTATAAGGTAGTCTCTACCACTCCCTTTTTTGGAAGAAACTGTTAACCCATGACAAAATGGCTAGGGAGGCGTCTCTTCTGATTTAGAGTGAGATCCTCTTTTTCATTTGTCATGTCGTTTTAATTATCCACTTTTTTGCTTGATTATGGTCCAGCCAGTGGACTCGACTAGATGAGTCATTTGCCTGTAGCAAGACAAGAGTGCTAATTCAAGCACTCCCCTCATTCCTCTTCCCTCCCTCGCCCTCCCCTCTCCTTGCCCTCCCCCTACCCACCTCTCTGTCTCTTTCTTATTCACCCTTTTGTCTGAGATTTTCAGGCTCAACCACATAGGCTAAAAATAATGTATCTTAGGCTAAAAATAGTGTATCTATTATTGTAGATATTTCTACTCTTAATTTTCTTTCATGTAAATTCATGAAATATAAGAAATTCAAAAGATATTGATTCACTTCCATTCTTCTTTTGAGGGCCACTGCAAAAATATTCCCTCAAAAGTCTTAAATTCTGTCTGAGAGTGAGATAAGAGAGTCTTTAGGTAAACTTACTTATAGTCAGGAAAGGGATAATACTCCATGCTGAGTGTTGGTGAAAAATTCTGTTCCCTTGTTCAGAAACTATTCCTTTATGGCTGTTTCCTACTTCCCAATTATAAATGCCACTCTAACTGTAACTAATGCTAAAATTATCTACTTGGAAAAACCTCACTAGGAACACAGGGTTTTGCAAAGGTGATGTGATTTGTGTCCATTGTATGAGTGAATTGCAAGAGTTTTGTAAAAAGCAAAGTATGAGGAAAATATTTATACTGATTCCCAGACACAGAGCATATACTATAAGTCAGTGTGGGCCACCTTACCTCAACGTACATAGAATCTTCCTGGAAATTAGGAGAGACCTAACCACCTTTCCCCTTCAATGGTAGATAACTTCAAGCAAAAATGCCAACATATGGGGCACCTGGGTGGCTCAGTTGGTTAAGCATCTGCCTTCAGCTCACATCATGATCCCAGCGTCCTGGGATCCAGCCCTGCAGCATCCTGGGAGCACCATACATCAGGCTGCCTGCTCAGCAGGGAGTCTGCTTCTCCCTTTCCCTCTGTACTCTCCCTGCTCATTCTCTCTCTCAAATAAATAAATAAATATTTTTTTAAAAATGCCAATATAAGAAATAACTATAGTATTGATAGTAGATAAGTGAGAAGAGAGAAATGAACATAAAGCTCCTATCTGCACCTAACCCACATTGACGTCATATCTGACACATGTACACTCAAGTTGGACCTATGCTTCTGACATGGATTATCATGAAGTACCCGTGTACTCCCCACTTCCACATATAGCATTTTAGGTATATGTAGTCCAATTATGGAAACACAGCTACCCCTGAATATGTTACTTAAGTTTAGATAACAATTTTGAGGCATATAGTAAGTGCTAAAAACTGAAAACTTCACGAGGCATTGGGAGAATTGAAATTGGTAGAATAAGAATAATATGGGCACAATACACCATAGGAAAAAGAAAAAATATCTATAATAAAATGTCATAAATACTACAATAGAGATATGTGTAAGATGCCTTGATGAGGAGAAAGTTCATACTTTTTTTTTAAGATTTTACTTATTTGTCAGAGAAAGAGAGCACAAGCTGGGAAGCAGGAAGAGCAGGCAGAGGGAGAAGCAGGCTCCCCACTGAGCAGGGAGTCCGATGTTGGGCTCAATCCCAGGACCCCGGGATCATGACCTGAGCTGAAGGCAGATGCATAATCCACTGAGCCACCCAGACAACCTGAGAAAGTTCCTACTCTAGAGAGATTCTGGAGGGGATCAGTAAATTTCTCACAGAAATGACTTTTGAAATGGGTATAAAGACTATGGACTCTGGGAAACCATCTGAGGGTTTCAGAGGGGAGGGAGTGGGAGGATGGGGTAGCCTGGTGATGGGTATTAAGGAGGGCACATGTTGTGATGAGCACTGGGTGTTATACGCAAATAATGAATCATGGAACACTACCTCAAAAACTAATGATGTAATGTATGGTGACTAACATAACATAATAATTAAAAAAAAAAAGAATGATGAAGTGAAAAAGGAGAAAAATTGCATTTGGGATATTGTGCATTTTGGCACAAGCTAAAGCCTCAAAATCTTATTCCCGTAGACATAGGGCTGCCAGAATACACAACAATTATAAAAAGTAAAGAACTCTCTGCTGCCTGTGTTTGATCAGACATCACCTTGAATGACTTAATTTGTTCATTTTCAATACTATACTATATGCCACTGATGAACACACCACAATTTTTATCTATTTTATTTTTCAAGGACATTTGGGTTGTTTCCAGTTTGAGGCTGTTATGAAGAATGCTTCAGTGAATATTCTTGTCTGAGTCTCCGGGTACGCACGTGCATGCATTTCTCTGGGTACATGCCGCCAATTTAAGCTGCTGACTCATCAGGTTTTCAAGGCTTTGTGTCTAACGGATAATGACAGGTGGTTTCCCAAAGCCGTTGCTCCAAGGAACACCCCACAAGTGCATGAGAGTTTGCACAGCCTCACATCCTCGCCAAATGGTGTAGGATTGGTGGTTTTTTAAATTATAGCCATACTGGTAATATGTAGTGATAGCCTGTAGTTTTAATTTGCATTTCCCTGCATACTAATTAGATTTAATACTTTTTCAAATGTTTTTGGCCATTTGTGTATCCATTTTTTTATGTGTCTGTTTAGTTTCCTGTCCGTTTTCTATTTACTGTTCATCTTTTCCTCATTAATTTGTAGGACCTCCCTTTCACCCCCTCCATACACACTCTCACTACGCACACTCACACACTCACACTCACATATACTCACACATACATACATTCTAATTACAAACTTTCTGAAACATCTTCTACTCTGTAGCTTGCCTTTACACTTTCTTAATGGTATATTTTTTTTTCATTTTTTGCAACAGAAGTTCTTAATTTTAATATAGTCTAATTCAGCTCTCTTTTCCTTTATGATTAACGTTTTTATTTTCTGGGTGGTTTTTTTTTTTTTTTTTTTTGTATTCTCCTTAAAATCTCTAGCCCAAAGTCATAAAGACTTTTCCCGCATTATCTTCCAGAACGTCGATTAGATTACCTTTAATATTTAAATATAATCCACCTAGAAGTACCTACCCCCCACCACTGCTCTGCAGTGCCACTGGGTCATAAATCAAACGTTCACATCTGTCTGTCTCTTTCAGAACTTTCTATTCCATTGGATTTGCCTGTTGTTCACCCTTTCCCCCCAGTATTACACTGCATAAATTATTGTGACCACATGATAAGTCTTAGTTTACAGATAAGTTCTCTTGCCTTGTTCTCCTTCATCCAGACTGACCTGGCTCTTACTGAGCTTCTAGAAATATATGCCTTTTAGAAACAACTTATCCATTTCTATGCATATATACATAAACACTCCTGGATTTTTATTGTCATTTCTTTGAACCTGTAGGTCAATTGGGTGAAGAATTAACTTCTTTAAAATATTAAGTCTCCATTTATTTGCGTCTTTAATGTCACTCAATAATTTTATATACTTTACATAAATGTCTTGCAGATTTCTGTTAGATTTATTCCTAAATATAGAACACGTTGATGCTGTAATCAAAGGTATTTTTTAAACATTTTATTAACTAATTCTTTGTTGCTGACATACAGAAATGACATTGATTTTCAGAAACCTTGCTAAATTCACTAGTACTAGTAATTTTTTTTGTTCATAATCATATCATTCATAAATCATGACAGTTTTATTTCTTTTCTTTCAATATTTAAACCATTGATTTATTTGCCTTGTCTCACTACATTTGCTAAAGTCCTCCAGGACAATGTTGAATAGATATAGAAATAGTGGGCATTGCTGTCCTGTTCCCAATCTCAAAAGGAAAGCCTTCAAAAATCCACCATTAAGCAGATTATGTACTATCAGTTTTTACAGATATCCTTTATTAAATCAAGTTACCTTCTATTTTTACTTTGCATAGTTATTTTAAAGTCAGAATTTGATAGATCCATCCCTGGAGCCCCTGTCGTAAGCAAAGTTAATGACGAATGACAGACTGGGTGAAAATATTTGTGAGTTATAGACCAGAAGGTTAAGCTCTCTAAAGAATTCTGGTAAACTTGCCAGATTCAATTTTCTCACTCCTAGTTCCAAACACTGTGTTCCGGGCCACTGCCATCAGGAATGAAAGTTTCACCAGTCCAGGAGCATAAATAAGCTAGTTTTTTCCATAAAGCTAAGTGTATTCTTTTTAAAGGATTGTCTTTTTTTCCTGTGGATATGTTTTGTGTAATTTTTAATGATAAAATACTATTTTTCTAATAAATCATTATTGTAATACATGGTAACTTAGGGTTTTAAAATTTTTTCTTACTTGAAAAACTAAATATTAGTAACTTGTTGCAGATCCCTCTTAATTCTTTAATTGACTTTATGGTCTGAGAAATCTCTGACCGTATGTTTAACAGTGATCTTAAGGGTGTTGACAAAGACGAAGGAGCCAATACATTAAGGAGATATAGAGGAGAGGACCTTTAGAGAATATGGAGGAGGAAGTAAACCAGGGCAGTGAGACATCAGAAAGCCGTGGGAAAAAAGGTTTCAGCCCAGTGGCTGTGATTGGCTGTGTCAAATGCTACAGAGAACTAAGGAAGATGAAAACTATAAAGTACCTACTGCATCTAGTAACAAAGAGGACATTAATGATTCTGATGGGAGATAGCAGCAAGGCCAAGACCAAATGCTGTGGGTGGAAGACAGAAAGGTTGGTGAGTAAGTGGAGATATTGACTTGTATGATTTTTCTGAGAAATTTAATTTTGACGAGAGAAGTGGGTCTCAGTTCTACTGTGGATACAGTAGGATCTGGGCTGATGGGTTGATTGGTTGTTTGCTTGCTTGATTGGTTTGTTTGTTTGTTTGTTTTGAAGATGAGAGCTGGTTGAATAAGATTAACATGAGTTTAAAAACCAGTGGAGAGACAGGGATATTAAAATATAGGAGAAAAAGATAATAATTAACAGAGAGAGATTCTGAGAACATGAGGTGAAGTGGAATATAAAACATAGATGGACAACTTCAGCAAGGGCAGGGAAGAAGAACATCATCCTTTGTGCATCATCAAAGAAGCACCCAGGGCCTCAGCCTAGGAATGTGTGGCTTCTATGTGGCTCGACACCAGCTGTCTATGTGAATGGTGCCCCATGCTTGTGTGAGGTACATCCTGCCCAGGCACATGCAGCAGTCTTGTATGTAGGTAAATCTGTAAGTCAATGGAACTAGAATTTGGGAGAATTACCGCCAAGAGGAAGAAAACCCAGTGAAAGTCCCTTGACACTAAGCAGTCAGCAGACAGGATGAATTAGAAGAGTGAGGGAAGGGAAAAGGGAAGCACCTTCTCTCCTTTCCACATTTCCCATGCCAAGCTTCCATCACGCTTCACTTCCACAAGCACTCTTTCCATGTTCTTATTCCTTCATCCACCACGGTGATCATTCTCTGAGTCCATTGTGTTCAGGCAGGTTTTAAGAAGAAGATAGTCTCTCAAACTCATGCAGAACAAGATTGGTATTTAAATACTAAAAGACAATATTTTAACTTAAAAGAATTCATCCCTAAAGGTGAAGTTTAAGCAGTTTATTGGTGAGTAGCAGAGATGTTTTTGGAAGAGAAGTCTTCCTGGTGCCCTTATATCTTTATAACTCATCAAGGGCCACAGCATTCAATTCATGATCCACATAAATGCACCCAGCCAAGGGAAACGTGGGGCTGAGATCCATCCCTGTTGACGATGATATTGACAATTTGAAGTTCTCTTGTTTTCTAATTTAAACCAACATTTCTTGAGCCTATACTCTGTTCCACGTGGTTTGTCATCATTTCCCCAAATCTGTTTGTTCAAACACTGGACAATCATCTGCAGAGGGAGATGGGGTGATAGTTTCCACAGAACATCTGTGAATAGGATCCCGAGGGACTTTCACCAGCCTGAGATGGTTGGTTTGTCCCAGAAGAACATGACAGAGAATAGGGGTTTAGAGAAATTCTGTTAAGGCAGCAATCTTTGAAATGAAAAGGAGGTGGGTAAATGTATGAATAAAACTAGATCTGGATCCTATACATCCTGGTTGATACGGTCACACAATACTGTCAGGGAAGGGAGGACCAAACAGAGGCATAAAAGCATAAGATTTCTAAGTTTAAAAAAAACAACAACAAACAAGAAACCAATTTCTCTCCACTCACCTTAACATTAAAGTTTTTTAGAAAGACTTTAATAGTTATCTCCACACAAACAATAAATCATCCATCCCACAAAGGTGGGCTTTTATGATGCTCAGACTCTTCCTAGAAATAGGAGAGCTTCTAGAAGGTGGATTCAGTGAATGAGCTCGATTCACTTTTGCTTCTCATCGTGAATGGAATTGCTGCTCCTCTTAGACATCCTAGCACCTGAGCTCCAGGTGGGACTGGGCATTGTCTACCCTGTTGACCTAGCACCTAGAAGGCACTCAGTTAACATTTCTGCATGTGAAATAAATGTTTCTTCCCGTGCTGCTCTTTAAAGAGTAAGCTGGCTCTTTCGTCAATGGCAGAGGCTTCATCTGCATCTGAATTGAACTCCACTAGGAGTGGCGCATTCTGGGAAATGGCCTCATTGGCCAGGATCCTCTATGTCCCCCCTGGGACAGTACAGCTGTCATCTCTGGTGTTAGTGTGGAAAGAATCTCAGCCAGAACACCAGGTTGAAGGGAAAAGGGCTGTCTTCAGCTTCATGCAGGACTAGTACTGGCAAAGAATCAGAGGAAAAAAAAGAGGGACTTGCACAGCTCCATGGATTCTCAAACTGAGGACCTAAAAAAGCATCTTCACCTGTTGTTTCCCAGGAACACGAGGAAGGTGTTGGCAGGCAGCAAAAAATGTTCTTGGGCAGCAGTCCAGTTGGCCTCAAAAGGCTCTCAAGGAGTCATTTAAAAAGCTCTTTGCACAGACATGTCCAGAATATTGACCAGATGAGAGAAGAAGCACTCACTGAGCAATTTTCTCTCACATGTTCGAACCTCCTCTCAGCTGTGTGTTTGGCAGGGGTCCCATAGAAATCACTGCAGAAGCTATCAACATAGCTTTTATGCAGGCATCCTCCATTTTAATAATCCCCAAGTTTCAATAAAAACTATCTCTTTACACTTCCACAGATGGCAGGAAGACTAGACGGCAGAATATGCTTTCTACAGACGGCTATTGATTCTTTTTCAGTATGTGCCAAATACAGCAAGAATTCTTAATTATTTTTTAAATTGTATAATGACCAGGAAAAAAATAATAAATGGAATATTTAGAAAACTAAACAATATTTTTGTTATTAAAATAAAATATAAGCTTGCAATTTTGGGAAGTTTAAATTTTGAAAAGAGCTCTTCCTTCAATTCTTTTTATTCCTAAATGACCCATTAATTCATTTGTTCATTAAAAAAATTACTGAGCACCAAGTAAGTACCAGGCACTTGGACAATAGGGATTTAGGATACAGAGGGGAAGGCGTAGGGAATAGATTTCACTTATTTATTTTCCTTCCACATAAAATTTATACCTTGAGCATGTCTTCAGGAAGATGCCATTCTTGAGTGCAAAATGGGGAATTAAGAGAAATGCAATTGATAAGTTCTGTTTGTACATGGTCGGTCTTTCCCTTTCCCTTCCCTCACTGTAACTTGCTAGATGTATTCCATTTTTCTTTCAGGGACAAGGAAATAAAGTTGATCCCTCTTGTCTGTGACAACTGATTACTTATCTTGCTCTGAATCTGCATCTGTGAGATGGACATTTAGTTGGGTCCAGCCTGCAAGGAACTCAAGTTTGCCTTCATGGTAAACCCCACAAGGGAACACAATATATTGCCTTCAAATTGTCTTACACAGCCTCAGCTTTCTATTTCAAAATTGTCTTTAATCAAATGTTTAATCACCTCTACTAGATCATTAGGAAAATATTGTTACTATGAGGTTGTAAGGGCATTTTCATTGCTCTTTTTTTTTTTTTTTTTTTTTTATCATTTACAACTCCCTGTTAGCTTTCAAAGTGATTTGAGGCTGCTTAAAATAGAAACCATATATGTCATATGGCTTTTCAAATAGAAAAACATGAGGAAGTAGGGGAAGCTTTATTATAGTCCCTGTTATTTCTTTCTTAGAAATCACATAAAAAAAATTCTACAACACTAAGGCACAGCAAGCTTGCATTCTACATTAGAGGTTCCTTCTTAAAGTCCTATTTTCTTGCCCTGTGTTGAAATTGCCCTCATACCAACATTAACTGAGGGTTTACCATGCACCAGGCACTCTCCAGTACTTCACAAGCATTAGTTTATCTAGCTCCTGAAACACATCCATAAGGGGGATACTACATGAACTTTATTTTAAATATGAGGGAACTAAATTTGGAGCTTAAGTAGCTTGCTTGAAGTCTAATGGCAGAGAGAATTCCAATGTAGGTAAGTCTGATGGTCTCCAGAATACTTCATCATTAATGAATACTTATAAATAATGGGTCCTATACCATTAGTGGATCATGAGGTCAACTTAGTAGCTTGTGATCCCATATGTGAATTAGATAGACTAGCAATGATCAGAGTACATCCCACAAAGTAAAAAGCAAGTTATATTTCAAGAAATTTTGTTTTCAGCGTGTATCTGTTTGTATGCTGAATTGTGATACAAAATATATGTCTGTGAGTTACTATCATAAAAAGCTTTCAAAGCTGCTTCACTAAGATATATTGATTCTCACTCATTCATGTTCCAAGTACAGGAGGACTACTAGTTTTTTATAAATCTGCCCTCTACAGAAATGTTTATGAGGAAGGAGAGATTAAAAATCTATGACTCGGGCGCCTGGGTGGCTCAGTTGGTTAAGCGACTGCCTTCGGCTCAGGTCGTGATCCTGGAGTCCCGGGATCATGTCCCACATCGGGCTCCCTGCTCAGCGGGGGGTCTGCTTCTCCCTCTCGTGCTCTCTGTCTCTCATTCTCTCTCTCTCAAATAAATAAAATCTTTAAAAAAAAATCTATGACTCAGTACGCCTCTCTTAACAAGCCAACTCCCAGAGCCACACAGCAGAATTTCCCTAAAATAGTCAGACCTGCTGGTCGTATGCCAAGTTGCTAATAGTAAATCACTCATCTACCACTGCAACAATAGCAGACCAAATATTTTTTGTTTGGGTAAGAACAAAAATCCAATGGGTACAAAAGCATCCCAGGGCTACCCTCTCCATCTGGGGAAGATGTAGCAGCAGCAGCTTCTGAAGTAGAGTGTGCATTGGTACGTCCAGCTGTCCCCAAGGAGGGCCAGGCTCTGTGTGTGTGTGTGTGTGTGTGTGTTGATGTATTTATTAAAGGGAAGTGAAAATTAGACAAAATGAGCAAAGACAATACAAAATATAATGTGTTTTCTCAGATGTTAAACTATTTTTTATGAACTTCCTACCTATGAAAGACAATTTAGTTCTCATATCCTCTCTCCCCATATACGTATTGAATCATCCCCTGACCCCAAGGGCCCGCTGTTAACTACTGTGTTATGAAGATATCAATTAAAGCAGGAAGCTGCATTTCAAGGGGCATAAGTTCTCTGTGAGGACAGATTAAAAATAGTCTCCTTGTGCAGGGAACATATGAGAAGACAAAAGCTAAATAGTGGCTAGGTTGAATGAGAATATGATAAAAGGAATAAAAAGGAATATAATTAACTTTGACAAAATTACTCTGTGGATAGGATGACCAAAAACATTCCGGAAATTTAGATGTAAGAGACATTCTTTCAATTTCGAAAGAGTACTTTCCAGAAAACAAAGAGATGCTCTTCGTAAATACTCTAGTACAATTGTGGAAGTCATGTATTTTTTTAAAGGAATGCAAGATGAAACTTCACAGAAATTGACTGAAGGAGAGTGTACACTCAGGCACTAATTGAAGGGAGCAAGGGGCATTAGCAAGGGGCTCCTAACCATGTCACTGAAGGTTGGCATCAAGGCCAGGAGTTCCCTTGGATTGGTGATATAATGTTCTATAATATAGCAGGATAGAGAACAAACCTGTGACTTTCCAAACTGATGACTGCATTTAACTTCCTTACACCTGAAACATTAAGAGAAAATATCACCCATACATAGACTGGTTGAAGGAATAACAGAGATAAACCACTTGTGCAAATCGCCTGGGACACAGTAAGCTCAATGAGTGTTAGGTGTTCTTACTATTATCTCTCCTTATTCAAATGTGGTTCTACCATGAGAGACGATGGACTCTGAAAAACAAACTGAGGGTTCTAGAGGGGAGGCGGGTGGGAGGATGGGTTAGCCTGGTGGTGGGTATTGAGGAGGGCACATTCTGCATGGAGCACTGGGTGTTATGCACAAACAATGAATCATGGAACACTTCATCTAAAACGAATGATGTAATGTATGGGGATTAACATAAGAATAAAAAAAACAAAAAACAAATGTGGTTCTAGATTTCTCTCTAATTCACACTTGAACTGTCCTTTTGCATATGTATTTTTATTATGTCACCTCAAATCCTTCTCATAAAGGGTCAATAAGTAAATAAATCCATCTATTTAATTCTGTTAGCTCATGGCTTTACCTTTCTGTTTCCAAGAATGGACAGTTCTTTGATTTCACACAAAAGTAAGACAATTACTTTGGTTTTGTTTACTATTGCCTTCCTGAAATTAGTTCAAAATAAACCTTGATCCCATTGTTGGTATAGCTGGTGTTAGATATGACTGTGATTGTTTAGAATGTTATAATTAAGAATATTATTCAAAGAAATTGTGTGCTATGAATGACACCAAACTCAACTCATAGAGTTCTTATGAAAATTAAAAGGGATGCCATGAAAAAGTTTAGCCATATTAACACTTTCTTTCTATTACATGAGATTTCTGTCCCCTCTTTCACATAGATTTTCTACTGACTGAGGGCAGTACTCCTTTTTGCCAAAAAGGATACTTTCCCTGTGGGAATCTTACCAAGTGCTTACCCCGTGCTTTTCACTGTGATGGTGTGGATGACTGCGGGAATGGGGCTGACGAGGACAACTGTGGTGAGTCCCCCCACTCAGCTCCAAATGCCCACCTCCCCTTGTGAATGCCCTCAAACTGTGCTTGAACCAAATAATAATTGTCATGAAAGGGAAGAGATGATTTGGTATTCTATAGGGAATCCTATTATAACACAAATAATTTCTCCCAATTAATTTGTGATGATGACCAGAATTTTCACAGGTAGGAGTTGCTTAAACCAGAAATATAAAATTGATAAAAACTGAAGTCATATTTTGAAATCTACTTGGATGCCCATATTCTAATTTTAAATGTCTTCCTATGACTACCTCTTTTTGGCTTGGTAATTTGGTTCAGCTGCAGGAATACATTTCATAAAGTGTGAATGGGCTCTGCCTAGAGAACTGATTCATTGAACAGACCTATATTGTGCCAGGGGCTCTTCAACTCACCCGACCACAGCAGGCTCAAGGGAGAGGAGGTCTTATCCTCATGGAGTTCATGTGGACCATGTGAACAAGGAGGACAATAAACCTGTACATAAAAAAATAAAATGTATATAAGTATTAATATTTATTTAAATACTAAATACTGCAGAAAGTGATAAATGCCAGAAAGAATAGAAAACAAGATGATGGGATAGAAAGTGACCTGAAGGGGGGGTTATTTTAAAGATGCAACCAGAGAAAACCTCTCTGAGATAATAACATTTGAATTGAGGACCAAACCATGAAAAACCGTAGAGGAACAGAGTTGCAGGCAAAAGAAACAGCAAGTGTAAAAGCCCTGAGGCTCAATGAAATAAGAAAATGTGTTTGTGGGACAGAAAACCAGAATGGCTTGATCGGAGTGAACAAGGATATAGAAGGTGAGGAGGTAAGCAGAGGCCAGATCACCAAAACTCTTACAGGCCATCTCAGGTCTGCATGTTGGGAGTGTATATATTGTCTAATATAACATGTATATTTTTACTTGAAGAAGCTGATGCCAAGTTGACATGTCTAGCTAATGAGCGAGTAGCCCTAAAACACAGATCTCCTGAATCTGAAAGAATCCTATGTGTATTCTACCACACTGAACTGCCATTCCTTGGCTCTGCCCAACTAGCAATCAAAGTGAGACAACATCGTCCAGGAATGCCAGGCATCTGTCTCTAGAATCTGCTTTCCTGCCCCTGTTATTCATGCATGCTTCCCTCTCACAGAAACTTCTGCCCTCACCTCCTGTGGATCATTCATGCTCATCCTTTGGGATTCAGTTCAGGTCCCATTTTCACCTGAGAAGCTTGGCTTCCCTGGCCCCAATTCCCTGTCCTAAAGCTCTCTCGCCAGTCTAAGATAAGCACCTTTTCTCTCTGTTTCCACAGCATCACAGCTGTACCTGTATGGTTGTACTAAGGGCTGCCTTGTCTTTTCACTGTACTTCTTCCACTAGACGCGAACTTCTTGAGAAGAGTTCTTTGTGTTTTAATTTGCTTTGGTGTCACCAGAGCTAAGACAGTAGAGTACATCGTAGGTGCCCATTCACTGCTCAGTGATGAGGGCAGCTGTCTGGATGTCAATGGGCAAGTCAATCAAATGCTTGGCATTCCCTCTTCACTGTGTGGGAATCAGAGACCCTTCATGTTTATCTGCCTCATGAGGATGTTCTGAATGCAAATTAAAAATAATTTTTGTAAAGGCATCAAATAGAATTATTTTAAAAACAATTGGGGGTATTAATAAGAAATAGAAACAAGTTAAAGGTTTCAGGGATCAAAGGGGACTTGTGGGCAACTATCTAAATTTACTTTTCTATTTGTAAACAAACTTCAGTATCTTACATTATAACATGTATCTCACCATTTTAATAGCATATATTAAAGTAATGATATTTCAGAATCAGGCCTCTTTTTTAAAAAGAATAGAATTTTCTTGCAGAAAAGGAGAAGGAAATTTGGCAAATAAGCTGGTTATGTCCTCTGACAAATTGAGAAAATATGATTTCACTCTATAGGACTAGATAGTCTTCATTAAAAGGAACTTTGCTTTTGCTTTATGAAGAAGAGCAGGTGACACATATTTTATTAACAGTCATTACATCTATCAAGTATTGATCTACACATACATATGCAGCAATATGCATATGACAAAACAATTCAGATTGTATTCTCTTCTGAGGACCTCAAAATTAAAGATGAAACATGTAAACTGTCAGCATTAGAAACAAGTAATATTTTTCAAGATGCATATATGTATGTCAAATAATTATCTAGTTCCATTATATATCTTCTGATACATACATTTGAAATATTTGTAACTGCAAAAAAGGGGAAAACTCCAGATGTTTGCCTAGCTTTTTCTCCCTTACCATCTATGTTATCATTCAATTACTTAAACAAATTTTTAATTGATTTCATTATCAATTTTTTATACTTTTGTTTTGTAATTTGATATTTGATTTATAGAATAACTGACACATATTCATCACCATTTCACAGGAGACACTAGTGGATGGGCGACCATATTTGGCACAGTCCATGGAAATGCTAATAATGTGGCATTAACACAGGAGTGCTGTAAGTGGTATTGATTCAAAGACTCAGTATCAGCTTTGCGAGCAACATGATTTGCGGTGCATGGATTTATATGGGTGGTGTAATAAATTCCCTTTGGAATTTCAATTTCAGTTCAATGTATTTCAATGGTCAACTGGTCTGTTGTCTGCCATGGGACTGAAGAGATGGAAGAAAACAGTATACTCCATTCATGCTCATTTTATGTATTAGCCTATGATTGCAAGAATACATAGATACTGAATAATTATGACAAATAATAAAGATCTTTTTCCCTTTAATTACTTTCTTCAATAAAGATATTGAACACCAACTACTTTCCAGCCCCTATGTTAGGGACTCAGAGTACAATGATAAGAAAGATGTGGCCCCAACTCACAAACACTTCACACTGTAGCAAGAAAGACAAATCCTGATGGAAGCAGGGAAGGTACAATATAGTGCTAAACTGGGGGAATGATGTCTGCACAAGGGAATGCGGAAGCCCGTTGGAAGAAATGAAGGCTGTGCCAGGGGTGGGGAAAGAACCACAGAGAAGATGACATTGAGATGGACTTAGAAGTCCCTGGATGAGGAAATGGGAGGAGGTAACAGGACAAGCAGGGAAGCAAGATCTGCCAAACGCTGAGGTAGGAAGGTGCAGAGCAGCTCCCAGTGCCTTTTTTCCCAGTGGTTCTGAGTGCCTGGAGCAGAGGAGCTGGACCTAGAAGATGAGGCCAGCCCATAAAGGGTTTTGGGGGCACACCTTGGACATTGGCCTCTACTCTGTAGATAGAATCATGTCTTTATACATACCTATATTACATACATGTGTATAATGTATACATAGGCACAATTATGTAGGTGCATATACAATTATATATGTATATTATTATGTATATATAATGCATATATATTTAACACTATATTAATATTATATTATGTACTTTATAATACCAGTTTATAATCACCGCTTATTATGTGCTTTACTATACATACACAGGAGCATCATATATAAAAATTAGAAATTAAAAGATTAAAAATAAATATAACTGAAAGTTCTAATAGTTTCTTCCTGAACCACAATAAGTCATCTTGTACACATCCCATTGTGGAGATCACTGCTGTACACGGTGGACAACCACCCACCAAAATTGTGGGCTTATTTTCTTTTATTTATTTATTTATTTATTTATTTATTTATTTATTTATTTATTTATTTTAATGAAGAGGAAGAAGCATATGATAAGGAGCGTTTGTGAGACTGATTCTTCCACCAAAATTATAGAGAATGGATTAGAACAATGGTCCTCAGCCCTGGGCAACTTTTGCCCCCAGAGAACATTTGACAATTGTCTGGAGACATTTGGGTTTTCACAACTGATGGGTTGCTACTGGCATCTAGTGTGTAGAGGACAAGGATGCTGTTGTGCATCCTATAATGTATAGGACAGCCCCCCACAGTGGAGAATGGGCCTCCCCAAATGTCAACCTTGTCAAGGCTGAGGAGAAAGTACAGTGAAAGAGATACTGATCATTATGTTTCCTGTAATACTTCAGATTAATACTCATAATCTAAAATCAGAAAATGTCAGTGAGAAAAGTTAAGATAGAGATGCAAGAAGCATTCCTGAAGAAGAATACAGAGCCTGTGGGTATGACTAACTTGTAGGTGAGGGGTCTATGTTCACATTGCTCATTTAGACAACAGGCTCAGCTTGGACTACATGGGATTCTTTTATTGGTAAATAAGAGTTTCAAACCCCAGGTTTTCAATCTAATAATATAACCACGATTTTTGATGTCAATAAACATTGAAGTAAACATTCTGAACTTATCTTTAAGAAGTTGAGCTAATTAGCATAAACTTATAAACAACATAGAATATTTTCCAGAATTTTACACACTAGAATGCATCTTTTGAATTAAGCAGGTACTCAATAAAAGTTTGTTGAACTTACCAAAATTCAGTGACATTGATTTTAAAAAGTTTGGATAAAAGTGATTTAAAGGAAACAGAGCAATTAGAAAGAACTTATAAAGATTTAAATAAATAATAATAAATACAAAAGTTGGAAAATAATCCTCATGTTCTTAGCCCCCATCAAAACAATTACCCATAGGATCAGAGGCAAAATCAAGTGCTCCATAAATATCGCTTCTCTCTCTCTCTTTCTCTCTCTGTCACACACACACACACACACACACACACACACACACAGTGATTATCTGTCCCATGGGACAACTTGGCCTGGTTTCTCTGTAGATTTCTCACTCCTTTTATACGCCATTATCTTAATAATTATGTAAGTTTCTTCACAGTAAAATCTGAAGTTTTATTTTTCTTCTGAATGTTTCAGATAGATGGATCTTTGGTTCTCTCCACTTTATAGCATCTATACAATTTTTATCTTCCACTATAACTTTATAGTAATGAAAAACAAAGAACGAAAATAAGAGGGAATCTGACTCAGTTGATTACAATAAGGCACAATGGAGGCTACGGCAGAAACTGCGTCCCTCTCTTCTCCCAGGTCCAGAAGTTTGAAAGGGGAAAAAGAATGGAATTTAATTTTAATCAACAAGCATTTATTGAGCAACCTCTTTGTGTCATTCAATTCAATTAAACTGACTCAATTTTACCCATTACAGATTTACTCCATCATAGTAAGGTTTTTCATCGAAGAGAACTTAATCTTGCTTCACTATACGCTTTTTTGCCATTTAAACCTTTCTGTGGTTTCTTTCTAATCACTTATTAAGTGCCTCTGAAATGACCACTGGAAGCTAGAACTGAGATGAAACACCACATTAGTCTATATTTGGCTAGGTGAGAAGTCTTGTTTGCTTTTATTATGGGCCCAAATTAGTGCACTGAAGGTGTAAATGTTATACTTTCGATGAAGAGAGAACAATGTCATTTATTAGAGATAAGGTCATAATTTTTAAAAAGTATTGTTTTCCCAGTGAAATACTACTCTTTTGCCCCCTAGTTCTAAATCAGTATCCACAACCCTGTGACTGCAAAGGAACTGAATTGGAATGTGTAAATGTCGGCTTAAAGTCTGTGCCAGTGATTTCCAGCAATATGACATTACTGTGAGTAGACTTCGCATCTTGCTGATATTTGCCTGTAAAATCATATGGAAACAATGTAGTCTAATCTAACCTCCCCTTGTTCTGTTTTGTTACTTGTATACTAGCAAAATAATAGAAGCTCCCTTTAAACCACCAGCCATTAGAGAATTCTTCTCCAAGGAAAACAGGTTTTAAACACTGAGTGTTAGATTAGCTTGAGTATCATTTAACTCACAAATGTCTGTGGTCTGGAGTGTTTATTTCAGTTACTTTCTGATCTATTGTTTTTACTAAAATGCCAGTACTGTACAACTAAAAATGGAAATAAAAAGGAAGACCACTAGCTTATTCTATCTCATTTTAAATAGCAGTAATTGTCCAAGATTGCAAAGATATAAAAGATCCATGAAGCTAGCTGTGTTATCACTGTGCAAATTTTCCTGTACTTTGGAAAAATGCTTTGAGAGCCTCAGGAATTTGCAATCATGTTATAATTTGACCATGCATGAGTTAGTTAGGATTTTCTTTTTTTTTTTATTTATTCATTTGAGACACAGAGAGAGAGAGAGAGAGAGAGAGAGAGAAAGCAGGAGCAGTGGGGAGAGTCAGAGGAAGAGGGAGAAACAGACTCCCTGCTGAGCAGGGAGCCTGATGTCGGGCTCAATCCCAGGACCTGGAGATCATCACCTGAGCTGAAGGCAGACGCTTAACCGTCTGAGCCACCCAGGCGCCCCGAGTTGCTTAGGATTTCCTGTTGGTTTTTTTTGGGGGGGGGTGTTTTGTTTGTTGTATTTTGTTAAATTACCCAGAGAGTAAAGATGTTAAATCACCATAGACATTCTAGTCTATGATACTAACCAGACTTGTCAAATGTGTACAAACTGCTTAATTTTGCTTTATGGACTTCTCATTCTCCCATGAGGAAGTTTTCAGTTACCACAGTCATTTTCAAATACATGTTAAGCAGCATGGAGTATCATTAAATATCCTGTTTTCAAGCATGCACTTTCTAGGAAAACTTTCGTTGGTCATTAAACCTGTAATGAAGTCTGCTTTACCTGTTATTTTAGGTCTCTTAAGAAAAACAAAATTCACAGTCTTCCAGATAAAGTTTTCATCAAATACACAGAACTTAAACAGATGTAAGTAGCTATTAGTAGTGTTTTTATGAAGAAATCCTTCTGATGTTTTATTTAAGATGCCTTTTATCTTTTGAAGTAAAATGAAATATAAACTTGATAACTTTTCCATGAAATTTATTTTTCCAAATGTAATTAAGATTAGGAAATTAAGCTTTGAAAACTAGCATATTATCTTTCCATTTCATAATTTAAAATAGCTGAATTGATTTTATTTAAACTATTTTTAGAGAACTAAATTGGAATTGAGATCAGGCATCTAAATAAGAAAACACATAGTTCCATGTGATTTTCCAAGATCATTTGGAAAATGACATTGTAGATTCAGAGGCACTAGATGTACTTTTTAATTTAAAGAGGAATGTTAGTATAGACCAGAATGATCAGATCATTTAAAACACATAATGATAGGATACAGCCTATCTCCCAGGATAATAGGAACAAAACCACAATCTTAGTGAAATCAGTGATATTAGCATATCTGAGGAAAGAAAATGTTAATAAATAGAGCACAGTCAGCAGTGAAGAAATGGTAGTCAGCAAGAAACAAAGTATCAAGATGCCATCTTCCAAGAAAGAAAACCAGGATCTGGGAGACATAATCCCTAGAGAAGTCTCTACTGGAGGACAGGGATGGATTGTCAATTTCCACCATAACTAGCATGAACTATCCTTTGCCATGATTCCCTGCTCACCAAGCAACATTATGATGACTGCATTAACTTCCCAAATTATTCATACTAAAGTATCTGGGCAGTTATCTTGGATAGGGTATAAGAACATTCCTATTGGTGGAGTTGGATATCTCCTATTTAAATAAAGAAATTGAGAATATTCAACCTCTTGTGAGTTTGGTTACCGTATGTCAGTTCCTCTGAGCACAGCCACTATGGGATAATGAAAAGATCAAGTTTCTACACTTGCCAAGATGATCATTAGACTAGATTTAAAAATTAACAAAGTAATGTTGTAAGGCCCCTTGGCAGTACAATCATATTGTTTTATCCTTCAGCCTTCAGCATAGGTTTCTAGAAATGTGAAATATGTTAAAATCTAGAAATGTAAAATACGTTAAAAGGAATAAAAATAAGATGATCTTTGGCTTATACTAAACAGACATATTTGGTTTAAAATGCCATCAACAATTCTATGCTGTTCATGAATTTAGGTACAGATTTTCTCATACAAGAAAAGAAGTCACTGAAGGAAGTCCATGAGTGAGATGGAATCTTCTGTGAACAGAGATAATCATGCCTGGGTTTGATTATAGCCTTTGTAAATATCATCTTACATCTCTGTAAATACCATCCTGGAGCATGTGGTCATGTTGAAATTGCCACCGTGGAGTAGCTGTGCGTGGACTCTGGGTTTCCAGATTCCTCCAGAGAGGAAATCCTAACTGCTAATCTTACTGGAAATTCTTAGAATCACCACATGTTCATTCTATGAATCAGTATTGTGCTTGCAATTGCCTGAATAATGCTCAAGGGAGGAAAAATAAAATAGCACTAGCAGAAAGGGAAAAAAAAAGGCTCATGTTGTAGAGTACATTTCAATTCTATGATCTAGAGTCGTAGAAATTTTATGAATTTTTAATTAAATCTTCTTATTATTTACAAGGCAACTAAAGTCTGCAATGGTTAAATGATTTAACTAAGATCTACAACTAGTAAGTGGAAGAGCCACATTTAGAACCCCTATCTTCTGATGCCCAATGCAATGTTTATTTTACAATAACCAGAAACTAGAGATGGAAAGAAATCATTCTAGCATCAGATTGAATGTTCTACCAACACATACTGTCCTAGACCATACAGAACTCCCTTCTGTACATTTTCCCTCTAATTTGGGACAAGTTGACTTCTGAGAAGGCAGAGAGATCACCAGAGGATCAAGCAAAGGAGAGTTAAATTTCAACTACTCAGACCAAGTCCTTTTGTGGACCACTGATCTATGTCAATAATATCTCTTGTAGTATCGGGTAGCCCACTTAAGGGAAGAATATGGAATCACTCCTTTTGATAATTCAGGCCCCAATTTTTCCTAGTGAAATAAAATAGGGATTAACCCTAATTGCCCAGAGCAGCTGGAAAATTCTCCAAATAAATGTTTACTTCTACTTTGTCTGAGAAAACCTAGGTGCCACATTATCACCCAGCAGAGGCTTTCTCAATGCAAGCTGCTATTTGATGCTTTCTAGGCAGGTTGATTCACCCGGAGACTGAGAGAAAAGAGATCAGGAGACCCTCATCAATAAATACTCACTAAAAGGGCGCCTGGGTGGCTCAGTTGGTTGAGCGACTGCCTTCGGCTCAGGTCATGATCCTGGACTCCCGGGATCGAGTCCCACATCGGTCTCCCTGCTTGGCAGGGAGTCTGCTTCTCCCTCTGCCCTCTTCCCTCTCGTGCTCTCTGTCTCTCATTCTCTCTCTCTCAAATAAATAAATAAAATCTTAAATAAATAAATAAATAAATACTCACTAAGTTATCTATTGAAGGCAAAATACTGCACAATTCTTTATATTTATATAACACTTTTTAAAGTTTACAAAGAATCCAACATTTGGAATTCTCATTTGGACTTTGAATCCCTAAAATCTGTGAGGTGGGGGCAGACATCATGAGATCCTTTTAGAAATGAGGGTATATACTCTGGAGAAGAGGGTTTGTTTGCCCAAAGGCAGCCATCTGACAAGTATTAGAGCTTGGCCTCAAAGCCAGACCTCTGACTGTGGTCCTTTGGAAGCTTAGCTGCATGATCCAGACTCAGAATATTGTTATTGTTGATGAAAATGTCCATTAACCAAACTTTGATTTGAAAATAACTCAAGTTCTTTATAAGCATTACTCGAATATCACAAAGCAGCTCATGAGCTCATGAGTACCCCAGCCCCTTTTCTCCCACTCTTCAGCAGCTCCTGCCACTCCTCCAACCCCCAGCCTCAGACATGCCCTTCCCTCTCCTGTCCTACTCTTACCTTCTCCTTCCCTATTCTGCATTACAATAGCCCAAATAACCATAGCAAAACCCAAACCATCCCCAGGAGAAAGTGTCCAGGGAATGGACAACCCCCAGAACCCTTGGTAGCATTCATCAGGAGGGTAAAAGCTGAGAAAACCACATGTTCATTCATTCTTTCAACAAATATTTGTTGATACGTGCAAGGTGCCACATACTGAGGATACAGTTGTAAATACCACCAAGAAAAGGCCTCTCTTCATGGAGCTTAAGGTACAAAGTTGGAGCATAGACAATAAAATTGAAAATACACAGTGTGTTAGATACTGATTAGGGCCATGGAGAAAAATAAGCCAGGAAGGGAATGAGGGCATGCTAAGGAAAAGAAATTTCAAAGAATATGTTAATAAATTTTGTCCTGTCACTTAGCTCTACTATCATCTTTAAAGCTTCCCATCTTTATTAGACTTACTCCGTGAAACAGATCAGAACACACCCAATCAGCCCTCCACGTAAGTGTAGATATTTAAAGCTGGCTGTTATTACTCTGCATGTTCCACAAGTCTCTTCAAGCAGAATTCTCTCCCGGAAGGACCTGGTTTCATATCTGATCAACATTCTGGTCACTCTAATCTGTATATGTTCCCCTACATTTGCTTTACATGAGGTATTTAGAATAAATGTAATATTATCACTGTGATATGACCAAAGCAGGGCAGGAGAAAGCTCGCAACATTTCCTTTCTAAACTCTATATGCCCTAAGCTTACATTTGCTTTTTGGTGGCTACTTCATTCCCTTAACTGTCAGTGATCATGCTTCTAAAATTCCCAATCTTGTGCCATAGGTGTTTCTGCTAAGTGATGGCTACTCCATCCTGCATTTGTGCACTTGGCATTTGAGAGCTAGTGGTGGGTCCATAAATTATCCCTATTCTGTTTCATCTTGTTAGAGTCAGCTTTTCTTATCAGACTGTGAAGAACTTTTTGGAAAATTCAACATATTTACTATTCTTCCCAGCATTCTGTCATATGAAAATTAGATGAACCACCTTTCCCCGTATCATGGAGTAAAATATCGAAGAGGATAGCGTCAAATACTGTTTCCTGAGCCCTTCATCATCATCCTTAAAATAATGTGTATTGTTCTTTATTTTGTCCATAAAACCATCATAAAACCATTTGATCAATGCCTGGTAGACCTATAAGCAATGTCAGCCACGTGTTTGTGTCGGACTGATCAGTTTTTCAAAGAAAAAAATCAAGTTGGTCTGACATGCCCTGATTCTCGTGTAGTCCCCTGTTCACTTTCTCTTTGAGGCGTTCATAGGCAGTGTCCTAAATAGCCTGTTCTGTGATCTTGCCCAGAACCAACACCAAACTCATCCTTCTCTGCACTGGGATATATCCTAAGAGATCACTGAATCTAACTTTGAGTGAGATTGTGGTCTAGAAAGCTCTAAATATTCAGTGGATTGAGGTCATTTAGGCATCCAGAAAAATAAATTTATAAATCAAAATGAAATCTTATTTGCCAGATGAATAAATGTTGTTCAACTTATCTGAATGCTTTTACTATTGATCAGATTACTCATTTTAATAATCTTTTAAAATATCAAGAATTTCTAATATTGGGAGGAAGAAATTTAAGATGACCTTTCAGAAAAATAAAATATAATTTATAACATTGACTGTAATACTTTATCACCACTACCATGGAAACCAACAGCAGTTCTCCCCGCCATTGTTTTTTTTTTTTTTTTAAGATTTTATTTATTTATTTGACAGAGAGAGAGATAGCGAGAGCAGGAACACAAGCAGGGGGAGTGGGAGAGGGAGAAGCAGGCTTCCTGCCGAGCAGGGAGCCCGATGTGGGACTCGATCCCAGGACCCTGGGATCATGACCTGAGCCGAAGGCAGACGCTTAACAACTGAGCCACCCAGGTGCCCTCTCCCCGCCCTTGTAACATAAACCTTATATAAATCAGAAATTCCTTCTTAAACATGGTTCTTGTTCAAGGCAATCATTGGCAACAAAATGTAGCTCAAGGAGTCTGCCTGGCTCATGAATACAAAATGTTGCATTAAAAAATAGCCTATAAACATGCATGTCATTAAAGCATTTATTTGCTTTAGTTTCAGGTACATAAATTCCTGGCGTTTCTGCTTGAAAAGTCCTGACAGCTGAAACAGCAGGAATTCATGAACCAGTAAGTTATTCTTAAAAAGCCATTCAATGTAAAGTATATTAAATTGGCTCATATCTCAGCTCTGAATAAAAAGAGGACACCACTTGCCAAATTGTCATGTTTCCAAATTTCCCCTCATATTCACCAAGCTTCTATCCTGCAAAGAAGAAAGGGGATACTACAGGATCAAGTTAAAATTCACTAGCCTAAGTCTGAGACAGGGGACTTGGGACTCTGGTTCTCTGTGGGGTGCCAGCAAACTGAAGTCAAACCAGAAGACTAGAGGCTCTTCATTATTTAAGGAGTTGGATTCTCAGCTCATGTCAGGGAAGGCAGAGAGGCTGTACATGTCCAGTGAGTCATGCAGATTGAAAGCACAGAGTCAAATTCAAAATTTATGACTGCCCATCTCTTCAAGACTTTGCGAGCATGTAGGTAAAATGTGCATTCCACTTTTGAATACATTATCTTGAATAAAATATAAATCACACTAGTTAGGTGGTAAATCTTATATTTAAGAGGAACTTCAATATACCTATATTATAGTATTATATTCTTTTTCTGTTTTCATTTATTGTTGTAACACAATTCATTATTTTAATTTTCATTACATCACTCAAGGGCTCTGAAATGCTAAAACAGATATTGATCTGTATGGATTCATTCTATTCATAGCAGAACTTTAAAACCAAAAGCACAATTTATACTGCAATGGGAAGCATCTCTTCACAGACATGGTGCAGGGGAGGAGGGTTGGAAAGACATGAGGTCTCCATAGGTTTCAGGTTTACTTTGTGGGATTGAAATGGATGTTTTGTGTATCTATGGATGTAATGCATGTGCTCTGTAGAACCAGCCTTTTCCACTCGGTAGTACACAGAGAAAATGACAATATTTGTTTAACACTTAGGGTTATAGATGGGTTCACTGATAACTGGGAGCTGATCTCCGCTTTACCTAGCTACCTGAATGGCTGAGGTTTTTAATATCTTGGCACACCTATAATGCCTTTGCTAGAGAATGAATAGTTACAGTGTAACAAAATTCAGAGTACAGTCATATGCTAAAGGAGCACATGTTCTATGAATAGTTTGGCAATGAAGTATCATAACAGTTAAGAAGGTGTTGTGCAAGATTTTAGGAACCAAAGCAAATAAAAAATAAGAGATAAGGAAGTCATTCAAAAGACTATGTAGTCATTAATTACTATTATTAGTGGAAAATTCCTGCTCCTAAATACCTCTAGAAAATATGAATTCAAGGCTAACCTCTCATTGTATAATGAGCACAGGAAATGGAAATTATTTACTTAGATACTCCCAACTTAGATATTATTGAATAATACTCTATTGCTAAATTGCTTCAGGGGTTAAGTAAATCATGATCCTGTGAGCTGAAGTTGATGTACTAGCCCCAGTTCAACTACTCATGCCATTTGTGACCTTGAGCACCATACTAACTCCCTTTGTACTTCTTGCTCTGCATCTCAAAATAAAAAAGAATAAGACTTGCCCTCTCCTTTTTCCAGGGGAATAGAATGAAGAGAAATGAGGATTTAAAGTTGGAACTCTGTGCTGAAAAAAATAAAGCTCAACAGTGAGACTGGTTGGTCTCACATGGGGCGTATCTCTTGCAAGTCAGGATAAGAAAACTGTAAAACAAGACCCCTTTGCTCCTCAAACTCATCACACACGAGCTCAGCAGTGCAAACCAGAGATGCCCGAATTTCACTGCATGGGTGCTAGAGGGACGGGGGGGCATTGGCTAGGTTCACAGCCATCTCTCATGGGCAACACCTCTACTGCTCAACATAAAAATAGGACTTGGGACTTTATAAGCCAGTTTCACAAAGTGTCTTTTAGTTGAAGGAAGTGGAGACCACATTCAACAACTTGATAAAATACCTAAACCATAATCACATGACTCTTCTATCTTATTCCTACCAGATTTCTTCAGCATAATTGTATTACACACATTTCCAGGAAAGCATTTTTTGGATTACATAACCTGCAAATATTGTAAGTAACTTCTTTATAATTATGAGTACAATTTTAAGTAAAGATTAGAAGGGTAGAATGGTCATTTTTGAACGCTTAACTTGGCTATAGTGAAATGGGAGGAATCGGTTATCACGAAGTACTTAGATTAGTTATTATGCTAAAAGAATTATTAAAAGATTCCTAGTTTTACCAGTTACAAAGGCTCTCCTTAACCTTGTCTTCTCAAGTTTGGGTCATTTCCACAATATTTTAGCATTTTATTTTTTCTAACTCTCACTAATTTACCTATATATTTTCTTAAAATGCTAGTCTACTAAGGATGTGACCAAAAAGGACAAAAGCAAGAATAACCTCCTCTTATACTCTTAAAAAAGATAATATTCCAACACACTGCTTTTGGCCATTTTGCTGGTCCTTGCCCTGGTGTTGCATAGACTAGGCTTGTTATCTGTATCTCCTAGTTGTTCCTTGATTTCTTCCCCTCTTCTTATCCAGTTGGGTGCTTTCAGAGACAGATGTCCATACTCCATAATCATCAGCAGCAGCTCATATTCTGATTATATGTGACTAAAATGGAGCATTGAGTTTGCCTAATTGACTTGCGCATGCTATTTATAGGTATCTCAATCACAACTGCATCACAGCTCTCAGACCCGGAGTATTCAAAGACTTACATCAGCTAACTTGGCTGTAAGTAGTCTAGTCTCCTTCCCCCTCAAAAGATCAGTCTTGATGATATACATCAATGCTTATCGTTTCCATCTATTTATGTATCTTGTTTATTATACTCATTTTTCTGACTGTCACATAACCTGGAGCACTTTACCCAAGCAATTCAGATAACGGCATGCCGAATGGTAGTTATGTGCAAAGAAATCTGTGCCATGCTTTTTCAGGAAGTTTCCTGAGTCCAGCCAGTGTTTACCTCTTCCAGCGTTTCTCAGCCGCAGCTCTGTTGGCATTTGATCCAGATAATTCTTGGATGAGGGGGGTGTTCTTGTGCATTTTGGGATGTTTAGCAGAACCTGTGTTCTCTACCCCAGTTGATGACAGTAGTCCTGATTCCCAGAGTTATGACAACCAAAAATGTCTCCAGACATTCTCAAATGTCCCCTGACCTAGAAAGTAAAGCAAGTTAAGGGCTTTTTTGATTTCCAGAACATTCATAGAAAAGTCTGAAAATATGGTAGTTTGTGGTGTTTCATTACTTTCCAGGCTGAGCCACCAGCTCCATACCAAGGACTCTCACATCAGGCGTTTGTGTTTTCATCAGGAAAATGAACGTCAGGCAGTTAGAAGGGTCTATGTGTCAGTTTGCCCATTTTCTATAGGTTCGCCTGGCCTAATGGAAAAAGCCAGAACTTCAGCTTCATCCAGATCCTGTGTATGCCGTGGTCCTATGCTTAATGTTCCAGGCAACTTTCTTAATCTTCCGAATTTCTCATCTGTCAACTATAATCACAGTTCCTTTCTAAGAACAATGTTGTGAGGTTAAATCACAGGGCATGTATAAACTGCCACATGCAGAGCTCCTGGCATATAGTAGGTGCCCAATGCCACTCCCTTCTTCAACTCTTACCCTCAGGGACTCCTGGTTTCAAAGGCACAAGAAAAAAGAAGGCATATTTCCCTTTAGTCTATTTCTTTCTAGGAAAATACCATATATCATTAGAAACGATGATTTGAATATATGAATATTTCACTCTTTCACCCTCAAAGCTCCTAATGAGTTTGTTTGTGCAGACCTTATTAAATGCATCATGTAAACACCATGAGACCAAAGAACTATTTGTGATTTCCTAAGAATTTTTTTTCCTCATTCACTCTTCATTCAATCAGTAGGTCAAAGCATTCACCAAGCCTGTATTCAGCTAATTAATAATTCAGCTTGTGCTGGACCCAAGTATACAGAGGTGAAGCGTATGACTCAGATCTTGAAGTCCAATGGGAGGTGGAAGCAGGCAGAGAAAACAATCAGGACAGAGCTCATAAGGGCTGGGATGGGGGGTGGTAAGAATTTGGAGGAAAGAGCCAGGGTGAAGGAGGGGCTCTCAGGGAAGAGGATGGAGGCCAAGTGTGGACGGGCAGGAAGGAAGAGAGCAGGTGTTGGGGGAGACATTATTGTCATGGGCCTTTTCTTGTTTCCTGGTTTTATTTCACAAATGTCTCTGATGCTGGAAATGTTTGTGATATGTTTTTTTCAGAATTCTAGATGACAATCCAATAACCAGAATTTCACAGAGGTTGTTTACTGGATTAAAGTCCTTGTTTTTCCTGTAAGTGTTCATCTAACCTTCAATACATCTGTCTATAAATTGCAAAAACATCTAACACTAGCTTACAAAAAAGAGCTTTAAAAAAACTCAAGCCTGCCAACATTTTTATTAGTCAAAACCTTTCCTATATGTCCAACCACAGTTACTGTTGCGATTTCCTGGCCATGGTATATTTTAAGCCTACTGGTTGATTGCTTTTTGATCTCCTTTAATTTCCTTTAATCCTAAGGCATGTTTGACTTGCAGTGGTTAACCAAAGATAGTATTCATTTTTATCTCCTAACTACATTTAAATCTATCAGAATCTCCCAGGAGTTCAGCTCCGACTACATTTTTAACAGAGGGAAATGTGCCTTTGCCCAGCGAGAGTCACTAAAAATTCCAAAATCTTTGTCCCACCGACAGAGCTGTTCTCATAATTATGTTCTCACTATTTATTAATACACTGAAATGATTTATCAGCAGGGGATTATTATGTTCCTTTATAGCTGATCGTATAGCATCATTATTTTTCCATCTGTCAAAAGGGACCACAATATCATAAATTAATTGTGCAGCTTAACATGCTAATGGGTTGTTTTCTTCCCCCCAGAGCCCCTGCTACCATTTCTTAGATTTAATGCAGTTTGCGATGTGGCCCTTTAATACTGTAAGTGATTAATGTTTCCCTTAAGAAAAAACTCTGGATGTAGGATGCTAGAAATGATTGCAAATTTGAAGTTTACAAGGAAAATTACCATGAACTTCAAAATTATTACTCAATATATACTTTTGTTTCATCTCATAAAATTAAACTGTACAATGTTTATTCCCAGGTTATATATATCATACTTTTGTGTTCATAGTTTCTTTGACATCTGCCTCCTTTTCCGTGCCGTTTGCATATCTAAAGATCATTTTGAAGAGGTTATGTCTGTATTCTTTATCCGGATGTGTTGATTTTAGCATGCAAGTTTCCAAATTGTGGAAATAGTAAAAATGCTGTTCTTAAAGTGGCATATCATTTTGTTTCTAATTAACATCTTCTTTGTGTAAAGGTCTATGGTTAATAACCACTTAGAAGCCCTTCCCAAACAGATGTGTGCCCAAATGCCTCATCTCAACTGGATGTGAGTATGCATTTAGGAGCTAATTTTTCTTCATCCAGATTAAGGAAACTAGACCTGAAGTTAATTCATGATTACATAAAAAGCCCATTGGTGATCTTTCCAAAACCCAAATCCGATTATGTTATTTCCTGGTTTAAAAATCTTTTGAGAATTCCACTGGGTGTGCAGGTCAAATTCAGACTTGCCCCTGGAGCACCCAAGGCCCCCCATTTTCTATCTCTTCCTCCATATAGTCTACTACCCTGCTCCTCCTCCTCACGAGTCTTCCTTCCAGATGCACCAAACTGCTATAATCAATTCCCCGGGCACATATTATTCCTTCAATTAGAAAATCTTGCTCCTTTATTCTTTTGGTTAACTCCAACATCTCCTTCAAAAATCAGCTTAAACATCCCCTCCAGGAGGCCATCCCTGACATGCCAGTCAATTTTATTGCCTGCTTCTCTGCCTCCTTTATTTACACTATGGACAGACGTCCACCATGCCACCTGGTCCCTACACTGCACACCTGTCTTGCTATCACTATCACAGAACCATCGGTTTACTTGTCTGTCCCCTACTACTCTGTAAATTCTACTAGGGCAGAAACCCCCCTTGGGATTTATATCCCAGCATTTGTACAATCACCAGCACATAATAACTGCTCAAAAACCTTTGTGAAACTAATGTGCTAAACCATTTCCACTCCTTGTTAACTTTGAACCAATACTTGTTTAAAACACTTAGTTGGTTTACTTAATGGCTTCACTACCACTACTCCCCATTCCTGCCACCTTCATCTTCACAGTCTCCTGAGACAGGCTGTATTGTCCCACGCAGACATCTCTTGCCCTGTGAAATGCTGATTGTACCGTCCCCTGGAACTCTCCTCATTGTTAAATCAGGGGACTCAATACTCATAAGATGATAAAACTGTAGTGTCTCAGCTTTTGATCCTTTCTGAGCTAGCCTTACAATTACTTGTTACAACTATTAGGTGCCCTTGTGTTTATTTACTGACATACATTTCTTTATTTCTTTATTATTTATATACCTGTTACCACAATACTTTTAAGGCAATAGAGGTCTTACGTAGATGTGCCACTGCCGAAAGGGAAATAATGGTCTGAACATGAGAATAAAACTTGTTAAGAATAGGTGAGAAAAAACAACTTAGAAAACACATGAGCACATCTGCACAATGAGAAGCAAACAGGAAAGGGTGAAAGTAGCAGAAAAAGATCAGGGCCCAGGCCTGTTCCCCAAAATGGACATCAGCAACCAAGAGGAGATCGGGAACCATTGTCAAAACCCTGGGTTCTGGCATACTCATGGTCACTCAAGGCTCCTTCAAACACTAGGGGAAAATGTAGACATCCAGTGAAAATATGTTGTTAGTAAGATAGTCTGATTGCACATGGAAAAGGGCCTTTAAACCAAGAGGGCAGAGAACTGAGAGGTCAGACCCAAAAAAACCCCATAAGGAAAAAAAAACTGCCCTGGCCAGGCTTCTCCTCCATCACTTGCCATCAGTAGGGCTATGCTCTCAACTCTTTACTGTTATACCTGTGAAATGTAAAAACATTTATTCCCATTCCATTTAACAATATCTGGATCTTAAAAATATATATATATATATATTTATTTATTTATTTATTTATTATTTATTTATTTCACAGAGAGAGATAGCGAGAGCAGGAACACAAGCAGGGAGAGTGGGAGGGGGAGAAGCAGGCTTCCCGCCAAGCAGGGAGCCCGATGTGGGGCTCAATCCCAGGACCCTGGGATCATGAGCTGAGCTGAAGGCAGACACTTAAAGACTGAGCCACCCAGGCGCCCCATATTTGGACCTTTAAGAGAGTATAGTGTTTATTATTTTAATCACAGTATTTTAAGGCTGAAAAAAATATCGAGTTCTTACAAGACCACCTGGATGGCTATAAAATGAAACTTAAAAGGGAATGACAAAAGGATTGGTGATTTTAGTGTTAATGTGAGAAATGTTCAGAAGCAGCAAAATAGCTATTGTCATATATATATGGAGGATTATAGGAAGCAGACTATAAAAAGAAGTTAGGAGACTTGGCAGGAAAGTTGCCTCTGTCTCATTCCTTGGTGCTGCTAGGAGTGGTAATGTCAGAGTGCTCCCAAGGGGGGTTCCCTGATGGTGAGATGCCGCTGCCATAAGGGATCACCAGCAGGATGTAATCATTCCACCGGTGCTTCTCCAGTGTCAGCACGCATCGCAAACAACATGAGGACTAGTTAAGACCGCAGTTCCTTTGCAATGACGTGGATGGAATATCATGCTAAGTGAGATAAATCAGTCAGAGAAGGAAAAATACCGTATGATCTCACTCACAGGTACAATTTAAGAAACAAAACAAATGAGCCAAGGAAAAAGAGAGAGAAAGAGAGAGAAGCCAAGAAGCAGACTCTTAACTATTGAGAACAAACTGATGGTTACCAAAGAGTGGCTTGGTGGGGGGATGGGGAAACTAGGTGATGGGGATGAAGGAGGGCACTTGTGATGAGCGCCAGGTGTTGTATGGAAGTGCTGAATCACTATATTGCACACCTGAAACTAATATAATACTGTATGTTAACTATAGTGGAATTAAAAAAAAAAAAAGACCTCAGTCCTAAGGACTGGGATGGAGCCCGAGGGTCTGCATTTCTAAGAAGTCCCCAGGTGACGCGAAGGGCTGTCCCAGCCACACTGGAGCAGGGATACACCCAGCGGCAGGATCTCAGAGGCATGGTGGAGAGAGCGGTCATTTCGTTTCTGGGTTTCAGCACCAAAAACAAATAAAAAACAAAAACAAAATAAAAGAAAGAGTAGTCACTTTCCATCATGCAAATGGATACATATCCTGACTCTGGTGTTCAGTATCTGGAAGATAAATTTGCTTGGGTTTCTCCTTTAGCAAAATAGAGATGAAAGTATCTACGTGATGTCAGTGGAATGTGAGAATATAAGGATCTATGATGCCATGGTTTAGTGTCTAGGCTTTAAATACAGACAGATCTGGGTTAGGAGGTCAATTCTACCATTTACCAGCTGTGTGACCAGAAATAAAGTGAATTCCCAAGAGCCTCACATTACTAATATGTTAAATGGGTGGGAAGGAGGGGGAGAAATAATACCAACTTTGCAGGAATGCTGTTATGCACTCAGAACAGTACCTGACACCATAGAAGTCTAATAAATGGTAGTTACCACTATGATGGTAGCAATATAATGATAATTAATAGCATGGTATCTAGCACAGAGAGACACTCATGAAATATTGGGCTGCCCTTTCCCTCAATTTTATTAAGTTGAATATTAATTGGAAGGGGAAAAGAAGCATAATATTAATTATATTATTAACCCTACAATAATTAGGAAGAAAGCATAAAAATTGGAATGAGGAAAAAATAAAGTTCAGAACTGTTATATCAACAAAAAGTGCCTGTAGACATGTGATTTGTGCAAAAACATTAAAAATATTTCTCCTCCATGCCTTTTAGGGATTTGGAAGGCAACGGGATAAAACATCTTAGGAAGTCCACCTTTCTGTCATGCAATTCACTCACGGTGCTGTAAGTATACAATGGAAATCAGTAAAGAGGGGAAACCCAGTAGATTTGGAAGTCAAAAGAAAATACTGACAAGGAATTTTAAAGTAGTGTTTTGTTTACAGCCTTGGTCTGAAACTGCAGTCCTAGAAAACGCACACATAGATTTATCAGTTTTGATGGTGGGTCCCAGCCTTCAGTGTAGCTGCCCAGCCTCTAGATTTCCAGCAGCTCTGCTTCTTGCTGAGGGCAATCAGCATTTCCATGCATCCTCTCAGCTGAGCTGGCCTCTAACCCTGTGATCACTCAGGAAATGAGATAATGTGTGCGCAAACGGTTAGCTCTACAACAATTAGCTTTGTTATCCCTTGTGAACAGTTATCCCTTGATGTCTCTTCTTTCTCTCTAAAGAAAAAAATAATTTTATTCTTAAGGGAAGAATATCTGATGTCTTCTGGTTTGCCAAAGATTCTGATTGGTGATTCTGATTGCTGATTACGTTTTTCAAAGGGTGTGGGGGGTGGTATGCACGTGGATCGGCTATGGCATATTTGCCCTGGTAAAAACACAAGAATTTTGCTTTGGTTTTAACCATAGTTTTCCACATGCAGTAAGCAGTAATGTTTGATGGTTGCACAGGTGGTTGGAAAAGAAAAATTGGAGTATATTCATTTGTAGTCGTCTAACCACTGTTTTTCAACAAACTAAGAGATAAGGTTATTGCCAGGCTACGTATCTATCAATCAGATTGCAGACTAGCATATTTAATGAGAAAAGAGGGGCTATCCCACTCAGCAGATGCAAAGAGTTTATTCCTTTTCTCATAGATAATGACAGAGAACACTGGTACAGAGAACACTGGTAAACTAAACAAATTCCATTGACACCTTCTGTTTTATAGCCCCGTGTAGCTTTTGAATCACTGTCACACTCATGATCTCATTTGTTAACACCTCTGTAAGGCAGTTAGCGGCAGACCCCCTCTTTTTACTGTATATCTTGGAGAATTCCATTTCTAGACAAAGGAAGTGTAAAACCACTGCCTTCCCCACCACCACCCAATTTAAAATCCATTTGTGGCCCCAGAAACTGCTATGGGGTTGGTTTAAGCTTTGTTCTTTCTGGCCTTTTCCTAAGGAATGTGCCTTACACAAGGATCCTCTCTCTCAAAGCCTACTCTAATTAATTAACAGGTTCCAAATTTGACATCCGTGTGTGTATATTGGGAAATGAACACTTTCTGAAATAATCAGATTCCAAACAAAACGCAGCTTCATAGACCACACTCAGCACTTCAAATTACTTATGGCAGCATTTCCTAGAGAGAACACGTGGATATCCTTGGTGAGAAATTTCTGCTTTACGTTCCACACCAGAACACACCTTACTTTGAGATTTCAAAGGAGGCCTTATGGAATTACCCCCCGGATCAGTGGCATCTCCCAATGAGAACTGGTTCTTACAGTAGACACAAACCAACAGTGCTGACTCTCACCATGTCTTACAGGTTTCTGCCTAGAAATCAAATTGATTTTGTTCCAGAGAAGACATTTTCTTCATTAAAAAATTTAGGAGAACTGTAAGTAGCATTGTCTACTAGGAAAATAGGATTGCTTCTTCCAAGATTATAAATTTAAGTGACTAGGGAGGCTGCTTTTTCCCTAGTGGCAATCAAATTCTGCAGACTCCTGGATATTCAAAATCAATTAAGAGAACCAACATTATCCTAAAGCCAAAAGCATATTAAAATCAAACGGTGGGCTTAATATGGATTTAGCCTACTCTAATTTCTCTCCCTATTTTCTTTGGGTGATTTCCTGTGTGTGTGTGTGTGTGTGTATGTGTGTATGTGTGTTTGTGTGTGTTTTGGAGCAAATGAGTTTTCCAGAGCTCCTTAAACTCAAGGATTATTATCTCTAATGGCTGGAGTATAGTTAATTCTCAATAAATGCTTGCTAAATGAATAAGTGACTAAAATCATATTAATCATGACTGAACAAAGGAACAAAGATGCTTATTATCCCTTGAGAAATTACGACTTCCAGAGTAGATGAAGCAAATACAAATGTCTAGAATGATTGGGTTTATTGAAAAATATTCAGAGAGCTCATGTAACTTTTTCTGTTCAAATATATGTTTTGTGGAGCTAAAACTTTTAAAAACATCTGTCTTGCTATTAATTCATTGCTACCCCCATAATTGTGTATCACTGGAAGTTAAAACTAAGTCTGTTACACTGGAAGTTAAAACTAAGGGGGTGACTTGGGTATAGAACTCCTCCTCCTGATCTGAAGCCTAAAAATGGAAATTAATTTCTTTATTTACCTCTCCCCCGTTCTTTATGCCTTGTTTAGAAATCCAGGAAGTACTGGGGAAAATAACTCAGAAAGAGTAATTTGAAAACTAATTCACGAATAATCAAGATAATTCAAAAGAATTTATAAGTATCACAAACTAAATCCACCTATATTTACTAAGTGCCTAGTATGTGCAAGACACTCCATTACAACTAAAAATATTGTCATTTTATGGCAAAAAGTGAAAAGCAGCTCCCTCAGAATCGCTCGCTTATTCTTCACAAGGGCATTCCTGATGAGACTTTAGAGGGTTGATAGGGACTTGGGTTATAGGGTAGAGAAAGCGAGCAGCCCAGGACACACAGGAGCATGTTTTAGGTGCAAACTTACGGAAACAGTGGTACGGAGTCCACATTTTGAAAAATATTCTAATCCTCTTTTTATCCTACACTTAGGCAGAGCCACACACATTCCCACCCCCCAAAAAAAGAGTCTGATTAAGAGATATTAGCTTGTTTTTTAAAACATCACCAATAATCTATTCCAATCCACTGTTCATCAGTAAGTGAAAAAAGAAATACAGAAGTTTATAGAATTAACTTGAACAAGGCATTTTTACTTCCTGAATTTACAAAAATGTTAGATAATTTTACTATGCCTTCATGACAACAAACCATGCTGGAGAGGAATAAGCACATTTAGGTGAGGCCATTAAAGTCCTTTCTTCCAAAAGGCTGTACTTTGTTTTTCGACATAACACTTAACAGGATGTTTTCTAGCTGCACAAGACATCATCATCTTGCTCTGTTGTCATGCTCACTCTGACCCATGCAAGCTCGTGGCTTTCCTTCTACACTAGACCCGGGTGTCCTCTTCTTACCTGCAGCCCCAGATCAGAATTGCCACCTGGCAGGACAACTACACTTGGATATCATGATAGCATCTCAAAAGTAATCTGTGACAATTAATTTATAGATAACCCTTACCCTCCTGCCAGCTTCTTTCCCTGAACTTACCATCATAGGGCTATCGGCATCCTTCCTGGCAGCCAGGCTCCAAGCCTCTTCCTTTCCCTTCAACCCTCCTTACACTTCATGTCCTACCAGATGGTGAGACCTGCCCATGACCCCCTTAAGCCCTCATCAGCTTTCACATGGTACAGGGTCAAAGCCTCCTGCCTGGTCTCCATCGTTTGACTCTCCGACTTTTCATGCTTCCGACAGAACTATCATCCCATGAACCAGAGCATAGTATGCCCCTGTCCTGCTTCATATTCTCCCTCCTTGTTGCCAGATTTCAATGTTAATGTTCAGAAGAATCACAAGGGATACTGGATTAAAATGCATGTTACCAGGCTCCCTCCCAGAGATTCTGAAGAGATAGTTCTGGAGTGGGCACGAGGAATGTGCTCTTTTTATAAGAATCCTCTTTGGTTCTAATGCCTAGACTATACCCTGGGAAGTTCTGCCTTGGAATGTATTCATGGCCCTTCCATTTTGTCTCCATGCTCATTTCCAGACTTACTTCCTCTACATCTCCCCATGCTTTCCCATGCCAATTCCAGAAGATGTCATTGAATCTCAAGTTTCTGTTTCACTGATCCTGCTTAACTCTCACCTGAAAAGCTGTTCTTCTTTTATACTACCTATGAAAATCATAAAGCTTTGTTCAAACAGTTCCTGATTTCCAACTCCTTCCTCTTTATTTAGTCAGTACATCTATAATAGCACTTGCTTCATTCCTTCCTTGTTTTATAATCCAGTTGTTTATTCTAATTGTAAGCTTCTTTAGAAAAAGACTTAAGTCTTAGTTATTTGTAACTCCCACATACCCATCAGCAGCTCCAAAGCATCAAAAATAGATAAGATCTTTTGTTTGAGTTTTAAGCAATTGCATGTCTATTTCACTTTTGAACATCTTCCCTTTAGAAGGATATTTTGGACTCTTGAAGAGCCCTGATTCCTTCTGACCCAAGCAAATCCTTTTATATATTCTGTAGAGGCATTTCCCTATGATTCTTCATGGATTGGACAGTCCTATTATATTTCATTCTAAATTTTTAATTTCTTTTAAAAAATAGTACCATATCAAAATAGATTTAAAATGTGCAAATTCATCCATTCAAGATTATCTGGGCAGATAATATGTGGCCAATACTGTCCTAGCTGGAAAGCAAGAGTAAGTAGAAGACAGAGGTCTTGGCCTCAGAAAGCTTGTAATACAGTTGGATAAACAAGATATCATATACTTGAACCAAATAAGAATCACAGAAATAATGAATGATCGAAATGTACAGAGAGTACCTGAAACAGAGGAAATTAATCAAAGTAGACATTGAAGCCAGGTTGGGAATGTGTTGGAGAGAGACTGAGAGGAAATTCCGGACAGGAACTGGATGAGCAAAATATCACACGTCTGAAAGTGATGGAAAACACTCCATTTGGCTGACTCACACAGCCTTGTTTTGTAACAAGTTATCAGGTTGGTTAAATTGGATCATATTTTCTGTTACATCCAATGGGATGATGATAACTGTGAGGAGTAATAACCATGTCATTTATTTCCTATGTAATTGTGTCGGGTTTTCACTCTCATCAACAGGGACCTGTCTAGCAATATGATAATGGAGCTACCACCCCACATTTTTAAAGACCTGAAGCTTCTACAAAAACTGTAAGTTCTTCTTCCCACCATCAGCAGATTTAAATGGCAACATCTCAAGCTTCCAAAATAATAACATCCTGATGCTTCTTTCCTCCCTCTTTCTAATGGTACAAAAGGAATCTGTCGTCCAATCCTCTTTTGTATCTCCACAAGAACCAGTTTGAAAGTCTTAAACAACTTCAGTCTCTGTAAGTGAAATATAACAGTATGTTGATTATCATTTTAGTGGATGTACTTTACTCAGAACCACATTTATTTTTAAATGGGTATTTGATAACACAGAGGGGTTTTTATTTGAGCGTGCATCATCAGACAGTTGTGAGTATCATTGTTACCATCAAGTTTGTACTGAATGACAGCAAAACCATTCAATATGTTGTAAAAAACATTTCTGTGTTTGAAGCTACGTATACCAGATTCACATGGAAAAATCTCATCCTGCAATCTTCGCAAAGAACTAAATTTTCAGTAGTTTGGTTACTGAACGGTTGGTAAAAAACAAATTATGTAAGACTTGCTTGCTTTTTCCTTTCCCCTTTGCTACAACAGTCTACTTGATATTGGTCTACGGTGCATGCTTTTTATATTTCTCTCAGTAAAGAAAAAAATTATCTCACCATTATGAACATTCAGGCACTTAATGTTGTTTAGTATTTTAAAATTTCAAATGTATGAGGTTTAAATAGAGTCAAGAACTCTGCCAGTTTTTCTCTGAACTTCCTCATTCCTTTCCCAGGAATAACCATTGTTGGTTTAAGTTTGTTGTTTGTTTTTACACGGAGGGCATACATATTATGTGATCTCTGCCTTAGGCTTTTGTTCATTTAATTCCAAAGATTAATCCTTAATATCACTTTTTCCTCTTGCTAAATAGTTTTCTTTTGGAAATTAATTCCAGATTAAGTTCTCTTTCAACAGGTATTAGTGAGCATCCACTGATGAAAAAGACTTGGTTCCTGTTCTTAAGAAGCGAGAATATAAAAAAACAAAGATGTGTGTGTGTGTGTGTGTGTGTTATACATATATATAATATATTGTTTTTTCATATAATAATAGACTTTAGGATGTGAACAAAATGATTTTTCACTTACTACACACTGAATCCTAAAAGTCAAAATATCATGCTACCACATCATGCCTTTCTAAAAGTCAAATTAGAAACTATTTACCCAACACCTTTCTTTATTTATTTTCTTTATTGTCTCAATCCTTTTTTTTTAAGATTTATTTTACAAACATTTGCTGGCTGCCAATTTATTCATAGCATTGTCTTAGGTACCCAAGATATAGTGACGCCTACCCTTCTGGAAACTATCAGCTATTAATCAAATAATCACACACAATCCATGTAGAGCTAAAACTGTGATAAGCCCAGGAGAAAGCCAGAGAGCAAAAGAAAGAGGGAAACCAATCCTTTAAAAAGGACTCAAGAGTTTCCTGCATCAGAGGCCCTGGGACAATTCTGGAGTATAATTGCTCCACTAGGTTTCATTTCTGACTGCCGAAGAACAAGGCAGTTCTGTGAAAGACTCAGTGGATGGGTGAAAACTCAGAACCATGTCAAGAAATCCTTATTCAGATCAGTCAAAGAGAAACTGAGTGAGAATCAAACATCTTTCAAAATAAACCTTAAAAGTAAAAGGCTTCTTTTTAGATTTTCCTCTCTCCATCTGTTTCCTGAGAACATGGCAGACTCCCTTAATTCATGCCGTCCTAAAGAGTCTTCAAAGAATCTGTATTTGAAGAAGCTTCTGGATAAATGAGGAATATAGCGGTTCCCACTGGAGCCCTCTGAGGACATCTCATGGGGTCTGGAGGAAGGAAAGGCGTTATGCTTCCCACTACTGTCTTAGGAACACTTGTCCTGAATTGAAGCCTTGCTTACTGCTTCCATGGTTTTCCACCCTAAAGATGCATAGGCCTGGAAGAAACGACTGTATTTGAATCCAGGTTTTCACAAAACTTAATTCAATGATGTTCTCAGGTTGGAAATATCAGTTCCTGTCTGAAACCCTCTAAAGCTCACATGGCGTGGTCTATAAAATCAAACTAGGCAGCCAATTTCATGATCACACAAATCACCACTGCCATTTTTAAATCAAAGAAATGCATGAGGATGTTCTATTAGAATGTAATTCAGCATATGAAGTGACAAAATCAGCTCCAACTTACAAAAGTCATAAATAGAAATGGCAATCTCCTAAGATAGTTTACTGTAAAATTTTCATCCTAATTTTAACTGGTAGTAAGACTTTGAAGCATGGTATCTAGGATATGACAAAAAATGCAATTATTAAAAAATTAAGCCCTGAAAACATGAAACCTATTGTGCCTATTTTCCAGAGACCTGGAAAGGATAGAAATTCCAAATATAAACACACGGATGTTTCAACCCATGATGAATCTTTCTCACATGTATGTATGTATGAAAAATGGAGAAGTAAGCATGGCGAAATATTGTCGATGTTCTAGTATAAACTGCCTAATGTATCACTGCAATGTGTTTTTATGCAAGAAAAGTCTTTTTATTGAGAACTTTTTAATTTTGTCACCTTTGGTCCCTGTTCAAATAGAGTTCAATATTATGATGTGCCGACATGAATGACACTTCTCTCTGGAAACACGCTGTTTATCCAATTGAGGCCCAATAAGAGATCAGGGTACCAGAATGCCACACATTACACAAGATGAAGTCCCTGGCTAAATGGTACTCAGGAGACCTGGAAACATTAATTCACCTCACATGAATGAGCAGTCGGCTGCTCTAAGATTTGAGCCCTTAGGAAGAAAGGTGCTATATAAATTCCAGGTGTTGTTACTGTTACTAAGTGCACTACAAAATGGAGGTAATTAATCTTTATAGTAGTTTTTGATGTCACTTTAATATATTTGGCTAAAGTGCACTGTGTAAGTTGTGTTATATTAATATATGTGTTTATGACATGATTCATTTCTTTATCAACTGTGTACTCTAATGTGTTCATGATTTCAAAAATTAACCCTTGTTATCCACAACAATAGGGAGGATTCGGTGTAAGATTACAAGTTGGGTGCAGCAAGTGGATGAAATGGTTGGTGTGAAGGTGCTCTTTTGGGAGAACATTTTGTTTAAGTCTCTGCAGTAGGTGTGATTACTAAAAGACAAGTACTTGATGCATATCCACATGGTTTTCATCATTTCTCTTTCTGTGGCATCAGTAGATACTTATTTAATGAGGCTATCTTTTCCTTGTTGAGGGTAGAATGTGAGGTCCTTTTAGATTAGAGAAATTCAACCTTTTTAGAACTTGATGGAGAAGCTGCCACTTAAAATAAGGTCAAGAAGCAGCTAATAATTAACAAAAAATGTTTTAACTTAGTTACTTCCCTACTAAGTGACCTAGCTTCTCTTCACCTCTTTGTCCACCATTTATTGAAACACTTCCACCTCATAACCCCCTCTCCTTCCACCTGCTGACCAGTGCCATGGTCACAGCAGGAGGAAAGGTTGAATGACCAAGAGACCTTAGCTGGGTCCATCTGAAGACAGTGGACATAATGGAATCTTAAAGGAACTAAAGGGTCAAGTCAAGTGTGTACCAAGGACTCCAGGCAAGGAGAAGATAAAAAGTGAATTATACATCAAGTTCCTTTAATTGCATAGATGATTTCTGGAAGCTCGACTGTCAGCTACTTGAGGGCAGTGATTGCCCCCTATTTCCCTACCTGACAAGCCCAGCACTAAATTATCCATCTTTCACATGCTCATCTAGGAAGTATTTGTTGAATACTTCGCATGTGTCAGGCACTGTTCTAGATCTGAGAACACAGGACAAACAGGAGAGAGGAGTGTCTGCCCCATGGAGCTTCCATTTAGCTTTGGGAAACAGAAAGTGAACAAATAAACTGTGATAAACACTGTGGAAAAAAGTGTAGCAAGACAAAAGGACAGAAAGAGGAGATAGATGGTTCACATAGAAGAGAGAAGTGACGTCTGAGCAGACCTGAATGGAGGGAGGGGCAGGTCTGGCAATATCTAGGGGGAAGAATCTTCCTGGCAGAGGGAACAGCAAAAGCAGTGCAGTAAGAAGAGGGGTGAGCCTGGCTTCTTTGAGAATTGGAAGAAGGCCAATATGCCTGAACGGAACGAGCAATGAAGGGAAGGTGAGGTGGATCTGGGCAGCCAATCGATCACGGGGGCCTTGAGGCCTCGGCAGAGTAAAGCTTGATTTAACTGGCTAGTCTCAAAACCGCATGGGGAGATGGCAAAAAAGGATTAGACAAAGAGAAATGAACTAAAAGAGGTGGTACAAGAAAACAAAAATGGAATACGTTTTAATGGGGGGGGAGCCTAAATACACAGGTTTGGGGAATGGCGATAAGCCAAATGACCTCCCAATTCAAACACGTCAAGCTTCCACACACCTAGATCAAAAATACATTGATCACAAACAAACCTATATTTGCCTCTAGAAATTGTTTAAGCCCTTTTAGGCCCTGGTATGAAATCTGCTTCTTCTCCTAGCTCCCGTGAGACTGAGTTTTCCTAGTCTCTGAGACCCTCCCTTCCCGCCAGTGTCAGGGAAAAGGAGGCTGGTTAAGTGAGTATAATTAAAAGGAAGCACAAGACAGGGATGTTTTTAGTTTCCATCCCAAACCCAAGCCCCTGAATGTTTGCTGCAGGTCAGTGTAACAAGGACAATTTACTTTTTATAATACCCTAAAGAATAATTCAATGTGATGATGAAAAATGGAGTCCTAGAGACTTCACATTCTCATGTCCTTCCCTGACTCGTTTCAGTCAAGGCACAGAATTTCTATGTCCTTCAGGTTCTCCGTCTTCCCAAGAAGCACACTGCCTAGAGTAACGTAATATTTGATAAAGAATTCTATAATCACTATAACCAAAAATAAACAGACCTAGCGAAGTTGCATACCTGACAGAGCAGCGGCTCTGATACAGGACGGCAACTCTAGTTTTTCTGTCATTGCTGTGAAGTGACTCTTTTTTTCCCTTTGAATTTAGTTATTTCACAAACTTTCGGTACTGCTCCTATGCTCCCCATGTCCGCATATGTATGCCCTTGACTGACGGCATTTCTTCATTTGAGGACCTCTTGGCTAACAATATCCTCAGAATATTTGTCTGGGTTATAGCTTTCATAACCTGCTTTGGAAATCTTTTTGTCATTGGCATGAGATCTCTCATTAAAGCTGAAAACACGACTCACGCTACGTCCATCAAAATCCTTTGTTGTAAGTATGTTTCCTGTCTAAGTGGATTTAGGATGTCTTCTGTGACATGTGCACTACATACATATTGGCCTTCAACCATGGCACTTACTATAAATTATATGAGCTGGGCAGCTTTTTTTCTAAGAATGAAGTACTGTTCTCTTTGACTCTCTGTTTTAGATTGCATCTAAATTAGATTTGCAGTGATCCAGCACCCACCGTGTGGGGTTATATCTTGGAAATGGGGTAACAGGGAGCCAATGAGTCAATGGACAGATTATGGAGGACAGGTTTTGGGTTATAAACTAAGCTCTGTTAAACCTTCAACTACAATAGCACCCATGTTCCTCAAGCCCAAAGAAAATTATTTTCTTTATTAACTATGCAAGTGATATTTGTTTGCTGTTCAAAAACTAGCTTCCCACACACAAATTTCCCCCCCACACACACACACCACCACCATTATTTTTAAATTATAAAGTGTGGTACTTTAGAATTAGGACACCTTTCGTGAAGTCCATTGTCCTTTAGAGACTGTTGTCGGTGTTTATATTAGTTCATTTAATACAGGATGGAGGAGGAAGACCTAATTAAAAAACCAAAACAGAGATGCTGGGAACTACCAACAGACACTGTATTAATTCTTTAACAGGTGCAGACTGCCTGATGGGTGTTTATTTGTTCTTCATTGGCTTTTTTGATATAAAATACCGCGGGCAGTATCAGAAGTATGCTTTGCTGTGGATGGAGAGTTTACAGTGTCGTCTCATGGGGTTCCTGGCCATGCTGTCTACCGAAGTCTCTGTCCTGCTGCTGACATACTTGACTTTGGAGAAGTTCCTGGTCATTGTCTTTCCCTTCAGTAACATTCGTCCTGGAAAATGGCAGACCTCGGTCATCCTCACCGGCATCTGGATTGTGGGATTTTTAATAGCTGTGATTCCATTTTGGAATGAGGATTATTTTGGAAACTTTTATGGAAAAAATGGCGTATGCTTCCCACTCTATTATGACCAAACAGAAGATATAGGAAGCAAAGGGTATTCTCTTGGAATTTTCCTAGGTAAATTATATGTTTCATTTTCTGGACCAACGTAATTCTGATAGAAAAAAACAGAAATTTCAGCAAATGTGTATTTGTCCACTTCAGAAAGTAAAAGATTATACTCCAGACTGTCCTTTTTGAAAGAAAAGTTCTTATTGAAAATTTAGAGTTTTTATTTAACTTTTTATTATAGAGATTTAGTTTGAGAAACAAAAGCATACTGTCTGGATGATGTTTTATTATCTGTAAGACCCTTTGATTTTCACATCGTGACTCTGAGCTGGAGGAATTCTAGTTTTAGTGCCTTGACCTGCGACCCCACCAAGTTATCTGAAATCATTTGTTTTTACAATCTAGATATGAGCTAAGTAAATAATAATAATAAAATTCTGGAAACTCACTAGCAGGAGATTACCGGAATGGAAATACCAGGGAAGTTTATTGCCTTTGGTAAATGCAGCTCTAAAGTCAACAACATAAGAGTACTTAATAAAACTGTTTGCTTTTCAGTTTTCTTAATTCCCCCTAATTTTTTAGAAAAGATCCTACTTTCTCTGTTAAAAAAAGTGAATGAGAAGTTTAGCTCTTTAAGGTTAGAAAAAAGCATTTGTTATTGTCTAATAGGTATCCCTCCTGCTTAAAATTAAGACGACTTCCACGTCATTTTTTAACTAGGGCAGTATTATCATTTTAATTTCCCTTTCTCATCTTTTCCTCTCATCTAAGTAGTCAATAAGCTCTATCATCATTTCTTTTTCATTGAATAGTTTTTCATTAAAATATGCCTCTGTCTTCTATTTCTTCCAGTCTGTACCTACTACCACCCTAATTTAAAACCTCACTACCTCAACCCTGAAGGGCTTATTAATAAGGGTTTATTACATTAGCCCTTACTAGTCCTCTGGCCTTGGAGGCTTTCTCTCTCCTATTAACCTGTTCACTACCTGAGTATCAAAAAGACTGTGTTTGCCCCTCCAAGACTTTCAGTGACTTCCTGCTACTCCCAAGGTCAATTGTAAATCAATCACTTAAATGCAAAACAAAATGACTCTAACAACCTGTCCCAGATCTTCATCTATTCCTTCTCTTCTCCTGAGAAATACACTTTCTTAGCACCATTTTAATAATACTCTTTACATACTACCCTATTCTATAGCTATTTTTTCATGGATAGTGTAAGCTGTTCCTAGCATAGATGCACTTCATAGACACACACACACCACTACATTCACTGATTCGTCAAGGATTTATTAAGCACCTGCTATAGGCCGGCACTATTTTGGGTACCGGAGATACAATAGATCAGCCCTCACAGACCTGCCACCAGAAAGGGGGATAAAGACAAGTAAATGCATTCTTACATCACAGACTCACAAATGCCACAAAGAAGGAGTACTGGATGTTCTAGGAGCCCCAAATCCGAGCACCAGGAAGGCTTTCCAATAGAAATGAGTCCAAACCCTCAGGCCCAAATGATAAGAAGGCATTAGCCAAGTGAAGTCTATTCCAGGAGAAGACATAGTAGATGTAGAGGCCCATAGACAAGGAACAGGTCCAGATGAAGGGCCAAGGAGTTAGGTGAGGCTGGACCTTACAGTTAAAGGGGGTGGGATAGGCTAAAATGGGTTTAGCACCTGTGACGTACTCCAGATAGACAGAGAGTAACACACACACACACACACACACACACATATCTCATCATCATCTATATACACTTGGCTTACCTATGAGAGGAGTCCCAGAGCCCTTTCTTCTCTTTAAAGAGTATAAGAATACACAGTTCTTAAATGAATTCTTTATTTTAGAATGGAATTAGACTTAGAGAGAAGTTGCAAGGTTAGTACAGTTTCCATATGCCCCTCACCCAGTATACCCTATTGCTAACCTCTCGCATCCCTATGGCGCTTTTAGAACACACACTTTTGGTCCGTTCACGTCTGTTTTCATAATTTGCACCAGAGGATCATCTTTAACAGTCATTTTCTTTTATTCTTAACTGAAGTTTCTGACAAAAGGCCTAACATAAGCCAATTTTATAAAATTCTATTGTATGACTTTATTATGAGATTCTGTAGAATGTGAAATACCTTGAATAAAAACAACAGAACACTGGGAATTTATAGAATTTTCCCCTAGACCTCACCCATCTCTTACATATAGTCTAGATTCAGAAGAACATTTTTTAAGCAACTTTGAAATTGTAAGCATATTTTATGTTCACAGTGAAGAGTAAGATCATTACTCAGGAATTTTATTATAGAAAGAATATAACAAAGTGACTAAGAAGTCAACATTATAAGATAATGATGTTAAGTGAGAATCATTTAAACATATTTGACCCTAAAATAATAAACCATATAGTTGAATTGTTTATTTTTTCTTATTTCTTTTTTTTCTAAAACAAGTCTAAAGGGTTCTGAATTTTAGTTTAAATTATTGTAAGCTATCTGAGAAAAAAAATGGATTTTTGTTCTATGTATTATTTTTACTTAGGACCCCCCCCCCAAAAAAAAACATGAGAAATAATGTTTCTGAGGCTATTATCTTCTTGCTATTCCAAGGTTATTTTGTTCATATTTATAAGATAAAGAAATGGGGTCATGTTTATTTTTTGAGATGTACGTATGATTACAGCAATCCCTTAAGATTTGAATTTGCAGAGAGCAAGAAATGATAATGGCTTTTTTCTGACTTTAAAAAAGCTAAAATTCACCTCACGATACACCTAGATCTGAATTTCAGAGCTCTGTAACTCTTCATAAAGGGTTTGTGTATTTTAAATATCTTTTTGATCTGACAAACCCAATTCCGTTAGCTTATAGCCTTAGATTCAAGGTTTTTAGCTGATTATGACTGGGCTTACACAAAAGAGTGCTTCTTGGTAGTACAGCATGAGAAGAGGCACCATAATGAACGTCTATGTAACACAGTATTTTTACTGTTGATTTCTACCCCTGAGATGTTAAGAGCTGTGCTTTTCCCAACAGGTGTGAACTTGCTGGCTTTTCTCATCATTGTGTTTTCCTATACTATTATGTTCTGTTCCATTAAAAAAACTGCCTTGCAGACTTCGGAAGTGAGAAATCACATTGGAAGAGAGGTGGCTGTTGCAAATCGTTTCTTTTTTATAGTGTTCTCTGATGCCATCTGCTGGATTCCTGTATTTGTAATTAAAATTCTCTCCCTCTTCCGGGTGGAAATACCAGGTCAGTCCCTTCTATTATTCCCAAGTACATTGTGCCATCTTACACTCCCTGATGAGGACAGAATACAGTGCCTGACATATAGTAAATTCTCTGTAAATACCTACAACTTTGGTACAAACAGTTATTATTTTCTTCAGTATTTTATAATCTGTATTCTAAGATAGAAACTGGGGAGTGGTGCAATCCAGACAAGAAAGATAAGAAAACAGGAGCTGGGAAAAAAAAAAAACAAAAACTAAGACTTAGTGTCTCATTTCTACCTGAGCTAGATAGTGGTTCTTAACCAAGAGTACACAAAAAAAATCAAAATATATATGCCCAGGTTCTAGATTTAATCTACAAGGGCAAAGGGCTACACACGGCGATTTTGGAAAAGTTCCCCTTGTGATTCTGAGGCACATACCCCTGGTCCCTGCCCTGTGGTTGTCACACGAGGCTCCACTCTGCAGGGTGTGAGATGTTCTGTTCAAGTGCTTCATCAAAAAGGCCAGGTTTCGGGCGCCTGGGTGGCTCAGTTGGTTAAGCGACTGCCTTCGGCTCAGGTCATGATCCTGGAGTCCCGGGATCAAGTCCCGCATCGGGCTCCCTGCTCAGCAGGGAGTCTGCTTCTCCCTCTGACCTTCCTCCCTCTCATGCTCTCTGTCTCTCATTCTCTCTCTCTCAAATAAATAAATAAAATCTTTAAAAAAAAAAAAGGCCAGGTTTCCCACCCACACCCCTAGTTCAACCAGAGGAAAAAACCTTTCATGAGTTAGGATTTCATTTGAATCCCTTTCTAGGACCTAGAAATCACAGCCATGCAGGGCCCACCCAGGGCTTTGGCTCGACTCTCAATGAACTAGACTTTCCACTTGGGGAGTCCATCCAGGGCAGGAATTGTGTCTTATTCATCTTGGCACCCCAGGCTCATGCATGGGGTTGGCCCTTCAGAAGCACTTATAAAAGTGTGATGAATGTTTAAGTACCAAACAGTTGTAACAGTTTATGTCCATCCAGCTTGTGCACAGAGTCATGGGAGGCCTTGTCAAATGCCTCCCTGCAAAATGACACACAACATCCCCAGCTTCCCCTTAACCTGTCCATATAGACTGACCACAAGGCAGAGGTGTCCCTGGAGCCATGTAAGGTGTGAAAGTGCAGATCAAGAGAGAGATGGGGACTGACTACTTGGACCTTCCACTAGGCGGGGAGAGCAGAGGCCATAAGAATGTGTGTGCCATCGCTCGGGGTTGGGGAGAGCCAAGTGGCTGTGAGGACCAGAGTTAATTAAGAGGAAAAATGAATTGTCCAGTCTGAAATATCCAGTCTACTACAACTTCCTGGGCATCTCAATGTTTACATTCTTACATTCCAAATTCAACAGGACTAAGATGGCCTTTGGCCTCCATTGCTCATGGATTAAAGTCCAAATGCTGGGATCAGCATCAGAAATGTTTATCTCCCACTCTGCCCTCATGTATTCTGTGATCCAGGCCCATTAGAATTATTGGGATTTTTTTTCTTCTGCACCTTTTTGATGTCTTGCCTTTGCTGAAGTTGTTCCCTCCACCTGGATTGTATCTTCAACCTGTAAGACTCTAGCTACTAAATACCCCTTCTCATACTTCAAAATTCAACCCAAATACTCACTCTCCCATAGCACCATTCCAGACCTCTCTCCAGCCCACTCCCATCCAACTCAATTGCTTAAATGTCTGTTACATATTGTTCATAGTTCACTTATTAGCCTCATCTGAACCGCCTCCTACCAGCGTTATTTTTTAGTGTGTTCATTGCTTCCTTCAGATTATAAGCTTTAGGATGTTAGGGACCATGTCTTGTTCATCTTTCCACAGTGCGTTTCACATAATGTTATTTAATAAATGCTTCTTCAACTAAAGATGCTGAGCTGGTCCAAGAGTGGTGGAACAGTGTGGGAAAGGAATGATCTCATCAACCTCCCCAACTTCTTTTTCCACACCTTTTGATGTCCTTCCCCACCTCAGTCACTTGCTTCTCTTGAATGTGGGAGGAGGCAGCCTTGTGTGGTGGATGAAGGACTAAGTGAGGCAGGAGTCCTGGGTTTCTGTCCTGACCCCACCACTGAGCAGTTGAGGAAATGTAGGGAGGTCACCTCACCTCATGGAGATGATTTTCATATGGCCTCTCAAATTCCTTCCAGTTTTCATATTCTGTGAGGCTTTTTCTCTCTGTATTACTCTGCTTGGGCTGCCATAACAGAGTAACACAAACTGGGTGGCTTAAGCAACATAAATTTATTTTTCACAGTTCTGGAGGGCTGGAAGTCCAGAATAAACTGTCAGCAGATTTCTGTTGTGGCCTCTCTCCTTGGCTTGCGGGTGGCCACCTTCTCACTGTGTGCCCGCATGACCTTTCCTCTGTGCGTATTCCCACAGTATCTCTCATATAGGAAAGTTTCCCTCTTCTTATAAACACACCCGTCAAATTGGACTAAGGCCAACCCTAATGGCCTTATTTTAACTTAATGACATCTTTAAAGGGCTGTCTCTAAACAGTCACATTCTGAGGTCCTGGGTGTTAGGACTTCAGTGTATGAATTTGGGAGGTCATAATTTAGCCCATCACACTGTCTGATTTAGAATCAGGAGATGTCTGGTGATCCATGGTATCTGAGAGCCGCAGGAGTAATCATCATCCCTGGAAAGCCTGCGACATTTCAGATCATGACGGGAAACTGGAATAGGAAAAAGAATGTTTTGTGAAAACCTTATTGGGCCATACCTCAGTCTTTCTCTACATTTATAGCTCAATACTTTGAGGTTTGTCTTGGACACTTCAATGGGCCTAAAAGAGTAGCCCTGATTATTTTTGACTAAGCCCCTTCTTGTTTGCCCAACTTCCCATGTATTGTAGGAAATGCTGCACTCACTGACCTAAACCCATCTTGTGCCCACCCCCCAAGAACTCTGGAGTGTGCTCCACCATGGCATGTCACTGATAGTATGTGTGGTCAGCCTGGAAAAATAAGCCAGTACTAGCCTTCCTTTCTCAGAACTCACCTGCTGACTTTACATTAGTGAGTCACCTTGAGACTGAATAGGAAGTCTCATTCCTGGTCACAATTTCCTTTGGGGACATAACAGACAAAAAGCAACTTACTTTGTTCTGTTTTGCTTTGGGTTTTTTTTTTTTTTTTCAATCATGCACTGTCCATATTGTTTAATTTTTAAAAATTAAATACAAGTAACATAGTAATATGAAACTTTAATAAATCTAAGATATGCTAAATATAGATATTTTTCTTCCATATTCTTTCCAGTTCAAAAAAATAAATAAGGACAAGAAAGAGAAGATGGGATAGGAAAAGAGGAAGGCAAACAGAAAAAAGGAGAAGGGAGAGATAACAAGAGAGAGGAAAGAGAGGAAGAAAGGTCAGATAAGCAGTCAGGAAAAATAGAAAAGAAAGAGAAGAACAGAAAGGATGGAAGGAATAAAGCAGGGCAAAGAAGAACAAGTAACCGTATCTAAAGGATAAGAAAATTGTGAGGGTGGGGAGGAAAGAGAAGGTGACAAAGGAGAGTGACAGGGAAGGTATCCCTGGCCTTACGACCCAGCTCTTCACCTGAGCTGAGAGTTCTTTGCATTTTTGGAGATGTGGGAAGAGGCAGCATAGTGTGGTGGGGTCAGAGAATTACAGGTATTAGTGCTGAAGAGGGACGTCAGCAGAGCCGCCGACTCTGACCCAGCCCCCTGACTTCGATCAAGTAAGTTATCATCAGCCCCTTTCACAGATAGGGTAGTTGAGGTCCAGGGAGCTTAGGTGATTTGCCCATGGTCACGTAGCTAAGTGTCTGACCCTAAGAGCAGGCTGTGCATAAAGGGGAAAACACACTTCATCTTAACCAAGCACATGATGTATTTGGAAAGGACACTACCATCACAAATTTCTCCTCACAAAGGACTTTTTGTGGCATCTTTCCCTTAATATTCTAAATGTATCTGTAAGGCTCCACACAAAAGGATTGATTAAGTTGGAAGATGTATTCTCATTTGCTCTTCACATTTTCAGCCTCCACTCTGGATAGGATGGTTGGAATACAGGGGTGGGGCAATAAGGCCTTCAGGAGTGGAGTTAAGACCAAGGTCAGATCTGACCCTGGACCAGACATTTCCTGAACACTGATCTATTGATTAAGAAGTATTTCCTCATTTTCTTACTTTTCTATCAAGAAAAGCAATAAAAACAAGAAAAATACATTACATTATCAACTTAAATCTATGAAGTGTTTTTTACATATTTCCTCTCATTTGACCTCACAACAAACTACCAAGTAGTTCCTGAAATTCAGAATGGTAGGACCTTGGATTCATAGCTCCTATGCTCCTCCCACAGAGAGATTTTCAATAAGGTGAAAGAAAACTTGAGCGAACTAGGTAGCCCTCCCCAAATAGCATTGACTACAAAATGTTATGTGTTATTTGTGTTGTTTAAAATTTCCACTTCATGAAATTTTCCACACTTCATTTCCCTCTCCAGGCACAATCACCTCCTGGATAGTCATTTTTTTCCTTCCAGTAAACAGTGCCTTGAACCCAATCCTCTACACTCTCACAACCAGCTTTTTCAAGGACAAGTTGAAACAGCTGCTGCACAAACATCGGAGGAAATCGATTTTCAAAACTAAAAAAAAGAGTCTCTCTACATCCATTGTGTGGACAGATGACTCCTCTTCACTTAAACTTGGGGTTTTGAACAAAATAACCCTTGGGGATGGTACAGTGAAACCAATTTCCTAGTAATGGTTTTAGATCCCTGGACTTGTTCAGTGGACTACTTATAAGAAAAGTACAGCGTTTGGAAGATGACATCTGCAATGCTTTTCATCTCCACCAACAACAAACCTTTCTGCACAGAGAGCACAGCAGAATGACTTCTGGCATGCACCACAATCCAATGGCAGCTGTACTATTTATCAACCGTGCCAAGAACTGTACCTATGGGTTCTTCTCACCCTTACGTTCCTGAAATGCACTAGTGAATCCATATATAGTAGGCTGATGTGCAGTTGGTCTGTAGCTAGTCAACACTACCAACCTACATGTTGGCACTTCATGGTTTGCTTTGAAGTTGAGTTGCACTGTCCACAAAATAAAACATTCATGACATCTAATGCCAGTGTGAACACAATAGCATAAGCCTAGCATCTCTTCCCTTGCTTTTTCAATGTCAAATGAAATCATCAGCATCCTGCTGTACTGATGGAAAAGGATTTCTGAGATGTTCACCTTCCTCAAGCCCAGCCCTCCAGAGGCCGGAGGAGTGGAAACTTTGAAAGCAGATCTTTACACAAGGCTGTCACATCCAACATAGAAGCAGAGAGACACACTGACTAAGCCTAGTACCATTTGCCTTCTTGGCTATTATTTAATGTCGGTAGAGCTGAGATCTAAAACAAGATATTTTTCTTCAGGTTGCCCAGGACACAAAGAAAAATTGGGCACCCCAACTGCCAAAGCTATATTTTAATATCTTTCAGGTATAATTTCTTTAGAGCTGTATTCCTATTGCTAGAAAGTTCTGCCTTCACAGAACACACGGATGAGAGGTATTAAAGGGGATTTAAGAACAGTGGTTGGATTGGGACCATTTGCATACTCAGAAAAATTCCCACTGTTTTTAACAAAAAGGCCAGTAAGTTTGGATTTGATTTTTGAAAATGAAAAGTACTTGTGAAGGCCTGGACGTGTTGTTATCATGTAAGTTTATATGTGAAAAAAAAAATCAGGTAAATAAAATTATATTTTGCATTTGTCCATATATTACTTTATGTTTGACAAAGACTACAGAGGGTGTTTATTGGCTGTTACCATGTTTCTCCTGATAGAGAATATAGCTAGGAAACACAACACCTAGTTAACAAGATACATCTTAATTTTTATCTTCCCCCTTTTTCCTGAAGCATGAGGCAGTAACTGAATGTCTTCACTGCTTGCTTCACTCTGAGTTCCTTTAATGAGTGGAATGTAAGCAGCTGAGAACTCCAGATTACTCCCTATTATGTGGATCCAGTAGCAGCCAAGAAAGAATCTTAGAGTTCATATGTCACAGCAGTTCTGGTAATATACCTGTTATTACTTAATAGTGACTAAAAAAACCATTGTGTTTTGATCAAGTGAAATATTTTTTGGCATCAGTGAAATCTTTCCATTAGGATTCTACAAATAATTTTCCTCCCCATTAGGTAGGCTGCCCTTTTCCCTTATGGTTTCAAACTTTCCTCCACCTTGTTCTCTTCACTATGGTGAGTTACTTCCCAACTTCTTTCCTGTATTTGCTGACATTTTATTTAAATGTCCTTTGCCAGTCCTCGATCATCAGATGATTTGTTTCCTAATACATTTCCTAAACATCAGGAACATAAATAAAGAATCGACCCTGAGCCCAGGGTATTTCAATCTTAGCACAAATGCGTGTTTCCCATTCTTGAAAAGCATCAGGCATGGCCCACGCACCAAGCATCTGGGAACTATGTTTGTGAATGTCTGCACTCTCAACTGTTAGGTAGTGGACATGAAAAGCACAAGGCCAGGTGTGTTAGGGAAGTTGGAAGCATATTTCACAGAAAAATTGAAGCTATATATTGGTCAGCAGCATGCTAACAGATAATATAAAACTGAATTCTAATGGCTTACTGATCTACACTCTTATTCTGTACTGCTATATAAATAGAAGCCTGTAAGAAATACATTTGATTTTAGCAAATAAGTCTTTTATCTGGATTGAGTAATGTCTTTTGCACTAGGTTAGACTTGTTTTCTAAACCCAAAATTTCTGGGTGGTTATGAAAATACCACCTCTGTTCTTGAACCACTTCCCATGACAATATATTTCTTTTTTTTATTATGTTGTGTTAATCACCATACATTCCATGACAATATAAACAGCATGTAAGCATGACTTGAGAATGTAAGAGGCCGTAGACTATGCCACCTCTCAGTAGGAAAGAATGAGGGCAAATCACCCAATCCACATCCCCATCAGGTTTCTGTGTATTACTGATGTCCGGTCTTGAAATAAAAAAAGATATTCTGAAAAATCAACATGGAGTCTCAAATGAGTGTACAAAAAGAAGGTGCATGATTTACCTGTGTTATACATAGCCAAGCTTACTTACATCACTTTGTTTTGTTCTTAAAGTTTATTTGTAATCAAAATTAAAATAGTTTATGCCCATTGTGGTTGCTGAAAGAGGCCCTGATGACCAGGGGATTTAAGTGGGATTACACACAGCTGACCCTTAGCTCCCAGGTAGCAGTATTACCATTCTGCACCCCAACACTGCAGCCTTATCTATCTAGTCTCTATAGCATATAATGGAGCCACAAAAGCAGACCCATCACCCCAATGTTTGTCTCTTAAGGGTGACTCTGGTATCAGATCAAGTCAGTATTTGGTAATTTGCTACATATATATTCATGCTACATTGTCAAGAATTTATGTCACCCAATGTGATCCTTCACTCTGGCTTATCATCCTCAAGTTTGTAAACAATGCAAAGATTCAAAGAATGCACACGATAAAAATGAAAAATGGTAAAGTGTCACCAATCATATGCTCCCTATCATTTTATAAATGCTCCAAGAGAGGTCTGAAGGAAATGGATCTTCCAAAATTAACAAGGAATACATGTAAGACATATTTCTCTTTAGTTTTTTTAATGTAGCATAAATGGGCATATGGTCCTATTTAATAAATAGCCTTCTGGCAATTTTACTCAAGAAACAAAGTATTGCTGATAAATATTTGTATTTTCTTATTTCCTGAATAAGGAAAAGAAAGACTGATTACGAAGATTTCTCCTTATATTTATCTGTTTACATGTCAATTGTCTGATAGCCTGTTTTTGAAAGATGGAAGATACATATTTAATAAAGATAATATTTACTTCTGAACCAGTAATATAAAATGCAATCAGAGTATTCTTTTAAATGGTTTTGTAGTAGAAGATCTCAAAGTCCTTGAGGAATACTTCCTAAAGCCCTGTAAGCTGATTGAAACCTATTATCCAGTGTATTTCATTAGAATAGTCTTCAGGATATTCTCTACATGACACATATGGAAGAAATCAATTACAAATAAAGAAATAGAAAATAATAAGGCCAAGTGACAAAATTGCAGATCCAAGAACAGTTGCCTTATGCTATCTGAACAGCCTGGCTCCAGTTCATAATGACACCTCTTATCTTTAGGACCTGAACAAGCATAACTACTTTGAGTTATAAACTCACAACTAGTTTGGATACAAAAAGAAATTATTTCTGGATTGTCTGGGAACCAATAAAACTTTCACCTGTTTACTAATTCTCTGAATTCATGGTGGTAGAGTATTTGATTCAGTAATGATTTTGTAATGGAAGCTATCTACTTTCCTGCTACAGACAATATACCTTCAGGGCCAAGAAATACACAGTCAAATTCAGGGGGCTGGTGCCATAGTTCCAGGTCAGTCATCAACTATTTATAAGACCTCAGACAGATGCCTTCAAATCTTTTCAATTCCCTATAACTGAGTTTCCTTAGGATCATATACATAAATTGATATCCTGTCCCATTTCTGGGAAGATCTATAATGTGGATTAAACCACTTACTAAAGGTCCATGTGGCTTAAAAATCCAAAAGTTTACATAAAATTCAAGTATCATCCAACTCTCAGTTTCCCTGAGATAATACAAGTTCTCAGAAAGAACCAATGAATGCACGGGTCACCAATGTTCAGAAATTCTTCCAGCGGAGGCTTACAGGGCCCCCATTCTATTTTGGAAAGAATTCTGAGGCGAAACTTCAGACAATGAAGCTTTCCTAAGACGTGGAAGATTACGACAGTACAGCAGTGAGTACAATTTAAAAATTAGGTGACCTCTTGTTAGCAAAATTTAGGAATACAGACAGTGGTGTAATTAACAAGCAACCATTTTAATTAACTACAAGTCATAAACTGGTCTCTTTATGTAAGTATAAATAGGTCTACTATCACCTACATTATCCTGAAAAACACATAAATGCACAGGCATGTCCAGCACTTATGACTGGGTATATTCTTGGGAAAAATACTGTTAGGGTAAAGACACAACATATCTAATTTCCCCCATAGAACCAGGATACAACAGGATACAATAAAATAAAATAAAATAAAATAAATAAATAAAATGAAATAAAAGTAATGTTTTTTTATTATATGTTTAACAAATGGATTCAAAACCCACCAAAATCATTTGTTTGGAAGATTTTTAGTAGAAAATCCCATAAGCTTAAACTACATAAGTGGCCTAGGCTGGAGAGGGGAGATGAAGATTCTGGTCGTTCTCTATATAAATTTCCTCTCAATTCTTTTATTTTCAATCTTGACCCAGGATTGATCTCTGCCTCAAACCTTGCTCCATCAGACATGAACTCCCTCCCCTGTGTCATTAACCTCCCCTCTCTGTTGGCCCTTTCTGCTCAGCTCACAATGCTCCAATTTCTCATATCTAAGAAGACAGTCCTGACATCCAACACCCTCCTTTAGCATTTGCCTATTCTCACCTTTTCTTTATAGCTAAACATTTAGAAAGGATGGTAAACTCTTTGTCATCAGTGCTTTGACTTCTCAACAACTGAATGCTTCCACCCTCACCATTCCACAGAGGCTCTCCTCCTTGAGATTTTCATAATAACTCCATTGACAGTTTCCTTTCTTTAACTATTTCATTTCTCTGAAAAATTTGTCACTGATGGCCACTTCCTCCTTTAAGCTCCTCTCTGGGAATGAAGGACACCACTCTCCTGTTCTACACTATTTCATTGGCTCTTCCTTCTCACGCATTTATGAGTTTGCTCTTCCTCCACCTGTCCCACAAACTTATAAATAAATTTCTGGGGTTTTACTCTTGGCTCCCTGTTCTTTACCCTCC